TGAGAAATATTTGAAAGTATCATTGAACACACTGCGAATTCCAGAATGGGAAAGTTTCCTTCAGATGAATTTTCAGAAAATAAGTTCAGAACTCTCCAGTTTTATGTCCACGTTGTACAGAATGGCGACCGATAAAGTCCGAGTCGTTTTCATTTTCAAATTAAAGCAATTTCTAATTTTCGGGACGGCAAACTGTGACATACATTCTGAATCTAGTCTGAAAATATCTGATGGTGAAGAATATAGCTAGCGAATAGCTAACGAATAGCTAACGAATAGCTAACGAATAGCTAACGAATAGCTAACGAATGAAAAAATAGAAGAAGTAAAACTGGTGAACAAAAACATACATAACCACAAATGCACTCGAAGCAGGAATGCAGAAGGTAGTTGGCTTCATTCTGACAGGTTATGGTTTTGTTATTTATGCATTGAAATATCTCGAATAGAGCTCGATCATAAACGAAAATATCATTGATTCAATGAATCACTATCGGCTACATTCAATGATACTATCCTTCCTAATTTACTGTCATCGGTCAAAACAGAATGAAGCCGACACCAATGGCTCCTTCCTCTTGTTGTGCCTGTCAGTATTTTGAGTGGTGTGGACGGACTCGAAATGTTAGGCGCTGTTGCAAGAGATAATCTGCATCTTTCCTAGAAAATAGATCCGTTTTGTTAAGGAATGAATTCATTAGCAAAAAAATGACTGACAAGTTATGAATAACATATTGTAATAATTTCAACTTCATTCAGTAAAAAAGTGTTCCAAGCATTTCATGCATTTCGTCATGCATTTCATCCATTTAATACATTTCCATACGTGAAGCATTTTATTCTGACATTTCATTACATTTCAAGCCATTCAAATGAATTCGAGGCCATTTCGTTACATTTCAATACAATAGCATTTCAAACCATAACATGTTATCATATATATATCAAGCATTTCATTTCATGATTATAAAGGTATTTCCGAGGGTATTTCGAGGCATTCCAAGGATTTCAGAACATTTTATACCATTTCCTTAAAGCATGTCATTTTATTTCATGCCATTTTGAAGTATTCCATAGCATTTCAAGGGATTTCATGGCATTTCAAGGTATTTAATGCATTTCAAGGAATTTTAAAGTATTTCAAGGATTTCATTGCATTTCATGCTATTTTATAAATGGCATTTTATTTTATTACATGTCATTTCGAAATATTCCAAAGCATTTCGAGGCATTTCATGGCATTTCAAGGTATTTCATGGCATTTCAAGGTATTTCATGGCATTTCAAGGAATTTCATGGCGTTTCAAGGAATTTCAAAGTATTTCAAGGATTTCAAGGCATTTCATGGTATTTCAGAAATTGCATATCATTTCAGGGTGTTTCAGAAATTGCATTTCATTTCATGTCATTTCGAAATATTCCAAAGCATTTCAAGGAATTTCAAAGCATTTCAAGGAATTTCAAAGCGCCTGTTTCATTTCCTTAGTGGTAACCCCCTCGGCATGTCTTCAGTTTCAAACGAATAATCGAAATGATAGGCTTTTGCTGGCCAAAATAAGAGACTGAAGCTGCTTGAAATATTATGATCGACGATAAGAATTAAGAGAACCGCTAATGGAATTGATTTATACTTATCCGCGATTTTTTCGCTAAATTTGTTATTCAAATAAATTGCGAAATTTCATCAACTCCGATATCAACCTGCGTCAATGAGAAGTCAGATGTAAAAACAAATATAAATAAATGGCATTAATGGCTCATTATTATGCGAATATCAGGGTGTTAGATTATGTCTGATCGCTTTTAATTGCCTATACATTTCTCTTTCATCGTTCAAAAATGGATTAATGATGTCCAATACCTGTTTCAAAACTATGCAATTAAATGGTCAGTTTTATGGATCTGTTGAATAAGAGTGATTATTCAATAAATTTAGTAATATAAAGGTGTGGATGTGTAATACGATACCCACTATATAGATGAATAAATTAGTATTATAAATCATTCATCTCGTCAGTCATCTTAATAGTTGCACTGAAATTTGATTGGATTGAAAATTTTAATTTTTCTGAGGTATTTTCAATTGATTTTTCCAAATTGCTTTCCTCCCTAGGTATGTAAGTCAATGTTTATATACAGTCATCTTGACCTATTTTTCTGTGGCTCAATCAAAGTGAAGAATTATTGATTGGTTCGAAAATTGTTTTTTTTTTTTCGAATTGCTCCTCTTTCGGCGTTTGTAAGTCAATATTTTATGCAGTCATTCTTTTCTTCCCATCTTGACATATTTTTATGTGTGAAAATCAAGATGAAGAATTGATTTGTTCGAAAAGTTGATTTTTTGAGGTATTTTCAATCATTCTTTCCAAATTGCTTTCCTCCGAAGGTATGTTATAGTCAATGTTTATACAGCTATCCTTTTTCTATCATCTCAACATACTTTTCTGTGGCAAAATCAAGGAGGGGAATTGATTACTTCGAAAATTTGATTTTTCAGGTAATTATTTTCAATCGTTTTTTTCAAATTGCTCCTTTCCCGAAATAACTATACTTACGTAAATCAATGTTTATACAGGCCATCTTTTTCTCTTATACGTGGAAAGAAATTGAATTGTATAAAAATAACAAGTTTCCTTGGTTGAAGTTTGAACCCTTTATTGGGTGAAAGTATTGAAAAGGAATATTCTCAGATAAATTATGAACATGAAAAAATGGATATATACAGGGTGGAAGTGCGAAAAACCTCAAGAGTTGATTCCTTGTAATATTTTAGGCAATGAAGTACATGTAAACATATGTCCCAACTTGCTTCGTTTTTGATCAACAGTATGTTGAAGTTGAAAGTATTGATTGTTTTTATTTATCACCCCCCTGTATAAGATTATATGATGCCAAAATTCAATATGGGCACCGGAAGACAATGTCCCAAAATTTCAAAATGATTCTTATTGAGGTTATTGAGTAATCTCTGAGAGCACTTACTCCCATTAAAATTTTGGATTCAAATGGAATTTCAATTGTTTTCTCAAAAACTATAAGTGAGATACAAAAGTAACACAAGGGATAAGAAAGTTGTTATTCCAATTATTCAATCAAATAAAAATAAACCCAGTGGCGTACAATGATATTCACCATAAATATCGACTGGAAATATTATTTTGAATCTAATTACACCAAAAATAGCTCCATGTTACTATTAACAAAACCAGCACGTTTCATTGGAATCGATGAGAAGACATTTGAGTAATGAATGAAAAAACAATTTTTCACGGAAATATTGATACCCTCTGTATCTCGAAAACGAAGCAAGTTAGGACACATGTTTATATAAACTTTATTTCCTGAAATATTAGGAAGAATCACCCCCTGAAGTTTGTCGCACTTATTCACTAACACCCTGTATATAAAGAAATACATTGAGAATTCGTATTCTTTATGTGATGGAAAATATCAATTCTTTCTCGATTTATTCAACAGGAAAGATATTGTTTTCTGTTGAATAAACAGGAAAGATATTGTTTTCTGTTGAATAAACCGAGAAAGAATTGATATTTTCATCACACAGAGAATACAAATTCTCAATGTATTTCTTTATATACAGTGTGTCTCACTTATAATGGAAACACACCTGTATCTTACGTATTCGTTGGGTAGGGATCCTGAAATTTGGAGTAGCGAGAGATATAGCAAAAATGCACTCTATCACCAAGTGGGGTCATCTTCAGTGATATACACTGATCGCAAACAGCCATGGAAGCACCCCGATTTCCGGAAAATGATAGTAGGAGTCGAAATAGGTAGAAATTCACTTTGGATTCGGAATCAGGACGCTCAATTCACTAACTATTCATATTTTTTTTGAAAATTTTTCAGTTCTGAAAATTTCATTTTTGTCTAACTTTTCATGGAATCACCCCCGTATTTTACGTAATCGGGTTAGGATCCTGAAATTTTCTGAAACGGGAGATATACCAAAAATGTACTCTATGACCAAGTATGGTCATCTTCAGTGATATTCACTGCTCACCACCAGCCGTGGAACTACACACATGTCCTTGAAATAATATCACTTCGGATTCGAAAACAGGAAGTCCAATTCAGTAACCTCCTATTTTTGACGCATTATTATCAGTAAAGATATTCTTCGTACAACTACGGGGGTGTTTATATGAAAAGTGAGACAAAAATGAAAATTTTTCAGGAAAAATTTGAATAGTTAGTGAATTGAGCGTTCTGATTCCGAATCCGAAGTAATTTTCAACATATTTTGCCTCCTAATATCATTTTCCGAGAATTGTGGTGGTTCCATGGCAATTGGCGAGCAGTGTAAATCAATGAAGATGATCCTACTTGGTAAAAAGGTGCATTTTTGATATATCTTACGCTCCATTAGAAGTGAGACACACTGTATGTACAGGGGTGACATTAAGATAAATCCATTTTTTCATGATCATAATTATATCTGAGAATATTACTTTCCAATATTTTCAATCGTTTTTTCCATAATTATAAATATTATAATTATATCAATAATCCGTATAGGTGTTGAACTTCAGTTCTTCAAGAGGTTATCGTTTTCTTCAAATTTTTACGTCAGTTTAAGAGTTTTGAGTTTGAAATGTAACGTAACTCATTCAGTACAAATATGTACCCTTAACGAACTTTGTTTGTCTCTCGGAGCGCACGAAAGGAAATTCCTATTATGTTCGTAGAACATCGTGCGTTCCTAGGGAGGAGAGGAGGTAGGTGTTGGAATTTTGTTTTACTTTTGGAGGTTATAAGTTCTTGGGAATATTTCCATTGGCAAAATATTACAAAGTTTCGCCGTTCTACTGACGAACGAGTTTTGGTACAGTGTTGTTCGACATATTTCAAGGTTAACGACGAAAGGATATGCTGACAGGGCCTGTCGATTTCGTTTGATGAAAAATCAACAAATGAAATGAATTACAAATCTCGTGCATTTACCTAACATTACTAATTATATATTTTTCTTTCAGTTCAAGCGCATGCTCAATAAGGAATTGTCCCACTTCTCGGAGTCTAGCAAATCAGGAAACCAAATATCAGAATACATCTGTTCCACTTTTCTTGGTGAGTAGTTTTATATTGTTTTTCGACACATATTATACGCAAACACATTATACAAATTATGACAGAGATCGATATATTAGTTTAGTGTTTTACGTAATTATACAGGGTGTATCTAAATAACACCGAAAAAATTCAAGGAGTGATTTCTTGTGATATTTTAGGAAATAAAGTTCATGTAAACATGTGTCCTAACTTGCTTCGTTTTCGAGATACAGGGTATTGATATTTCCATGTAAAATCTTTTTTCTATTCATTTCTCAATTGTCTTTTCATCAATTTCAATAAGACGTTGTGGTTTTGTTGATAGTAATATTGAGCTTCTTCTAGTGCAATTAGATTCAAAATAATATTTCCAGTGGCGTCACAGTGGGTAAATTTATCGATATTCATTGAATGTCATATATTTTTATTAGATTGAACTATTGAAATAACAACGTTTTTATCCTCTGTGTGATTTTTGTATCTAGCTTAGTTTTTGAGGAAAGAATGAAAATTCGATTTGTTGACTCCAAATTTTAATGTAGGTGTTTTGAATAAAAACAATTAATACTTCCAACTTCAACATCCTGTATCTCAAAAACGGAGCAAGATAGGACACATGTGTATATGAACTTCATTTGCTAGAATGTCACAAAGAAACACACCTTGAATTTTGTCGGTGTTATTCAGATACACCCTGTATAGGAGAATGAGGAAAATACTGGTATAACTGCGAGTATAACCTGTCCTTGAGATTCACTTCGATATATTTTTATAAATAATATTTGTTACATACAATATAACCATAATCGCTTCTAACGTAATCTAAAGCTCTGATCTAGAAACGTGGATTAATTATATCTAATATTTCAATAAATAGGCAAATCAGCAAATTTGATGACTCATAATTTATAGGTAATAAAATATTTACCAATTTCACTACGACCTTAATTCTGACATAATAAGTAAGTGATGCTGATTTTTAATACTTATCCATCTTGAATTTACGGACATCTTTGCCTTGAAGAAATCCAGGAAATTTCAACACAATAATATTATTTTTTCTTGAATGCGAAAAAAGTGTTGAATCTCTGTTGACAGATAACAAGATGTTACGTATTTAATTATCCATGCAAGAGATACAAAAAATTGTTGAGCAGCTGTATTTGCAAGTGTTCCTGATGAACAGTCAATAAAGACTCGAAACTAGATTAAAGATTTATACCATTTTCCAATTAGGTAGAACTTTTTAAATATAAATTTCAATTTTTCGTCTCGATAATGTTCTAGCCATTGACTTTTCAACACTCAATTCAATTGTTTTGATCTGTTTTGATATTGTACTCCGTATATTTTGACCCCTACCTCGAGCTTCAACTATACGAGGTGGAAGAAACTTCGAATATAAAAGTTGTAGGGTTTTATCCTCGGTTTCATCTGTACTATCTTTTGACACTCCTTAAATAAACAAATGCGAATCGCAAAACAGAAAAAAAGAGTCCAACGCAGTGTGTTCTCGAAGACGAGAGAGAATTTTCTAAATATTCGAGTTCGAGAAAAAATTCCCGAATACTAATGGAAGCTTAAGTGGTATTCGGTAAGAAAATTTCACACTGATATATTATAATTGCAAGTATACCTACATAATATTATATGGTAAACTGTTGATAAATTATTTCTATTTATTGACTCACAGAATGAACTCGAAATAATCTGAATGTAAATATCATTCAACCTATAAACGTCAAAAAAATTCAAGATAAATTTCCTGCTCCGTCTCCCAAGGAGGAGGAAAAAATTTCCAAGAAATTTGTTCAGTTGCTATGGTAACGATACGAAATACAGGCTTTAAATTGATCGAAAATGTTTGGCGTGAAATTTTCACTTATAATATCACAAGAGCTTCAATTATTTCCGGAAATCTTTTCGAGAACACGAGTATTTTGAATAATATTCTAAATATTCATGTTTCAGAAAAAATTCCCGGATCTTAATTGAAGCTAAAGTGGTTTTCGGTAAAAAAATTAACATATTGATGGTTGTTTGTGATGAAATGTGAGAACTAACGTATACAACATGTGTTTTTGTAAATTTCGAATTTGCAAGTAAACTGTTGATGAATGATTTTTATTTAATCACTTATAGAATGAACTCAAAATAATCTCCGTCCCCCACTCATGTGAAGTTGGCGCCGTTTTTTTCGAAAAACTCAATTTTTTTTTTAGTTCTGAGTAGATTTGATAGAGTTCTAGAGTTCCTGACTGAAATTTTGAATAGTTCCAGCAAATCGTAGGTGTCATTGGAAAAAATAAATTTTGAGCGCTAACTTCACGCAGCGCCGTTTTTTTCGAAAAATGAGTTCTGATATATTGTTTTGTTGTATTATAAAGAGTTCTGGAGTTCTACACCTATTTCATCAATAGTTCTGGTGAACTAAGGAAATTATCGAATAATTTAAGGAAATTAAATACGAATATGTGTTTCTATAGCCAGCATTTCTTGGTGAAATACTATTCCGTTCTGTTTCGTATTGAAGAAAAAGCTATCGAGGAAAAAGGAGGAGGATCATTAGGAAATGTGAAATCTAAAAAAAACGAAGAAAAAAATCAGCTGTCATAAGGTGAAAAATTTATTCCAAAGAACAGGACAGTTCTGATGGGAGTTCTGAGTAGCGCTCGACGAGTTCTTCAAAATATTCCTATTCTGTTTTAGTGACCAATCGATACTTCTTCATTCATCAGCTGTCATAAGGTGCTGACCTCAAAAAACTAGCATTTTCGATAAAAAATTCATTATGTAAAACAGAACATTTCTGATAGGAGTTCTGAGTAGCGCCCGAGGAGTTCTTCAAAATATTCTAATTGTGTTTTAGTGACAATTCGATACTTTTTCTTTCATCAGCTTCTGAACTGTTTCGTATTTAACTGCTGATTTTTTATCGAAAATGATAGGTTTTGAAGGTATGCACCTTATGACAGCTGATAAATGAAAAAGTATCGATTTGTCACCAAAACACCAAGATAATATTTTGAAGGACTCGTCGAGCGCTACTCAGAACTCCCATCAGAACTATTCTGTTCTTAAGTATCATTTTTTTACCAAAACTTAGTTTTTTGAGGTATACACCTTATGCCAGCTGATAAAAGAAAAAGTATCGATTTGTCACTAAAACACCATTTGAATATTTTGAAGAACTCGTCGAGCACTACTCAGAACTCCCATCAGAACTGTCCTGTTCTTTGGAATACATTTTTCACCTTATGACAGCTGATTTTTTTCTTCGTTTTTTTCAGATTTCACATTTCCTAATGATCCTTCTTCTTTTTCCTCGATAGTTTTTTCTTCAATACGAAACAATACGGAATAGTATTTCACCAAGAAATGCTGGCTATAGAAACACATTTTCGTATTTAATTTCCTTAAATTATTCGATAATTTCCTTAGTTCACCAGAACTATTGATGAAATAGGTGTAGAACTCCAGAACTCTTTATAATACAACAAAAAAATATATCAGAACTCATTTTCTCGAAAAAAAAGGCGCTGCGTGAAGTTAGCGCTCAAAATTTATTTTTTCCAATGACACCTACGATTTGCTGGAACTATTCAAAATTTCAGTCAGGAACTCTAGAACTCTATCAAATCTACTCAGAACTAAAAAAAAATTGAGTTTTTCGAAAAAAACGGCGCCAACTTCACATGAGTCCGTCCCCCAAGGAGGAGGAAAAAATTCCCAAGAAATTTGTTTAGTTAAGCATTAAATTGATGGAGAATGTTCGGTGTGAAATTTTCATTATTATTGTGGGCCGGGATTGGCGCAGTGGAAGAGCGTCCGTCTCACGACCGCAAGGTCGTGGGTTCGATTTCCAGCACGGGCCAGGAACTTTTTTCAATATTTTATTTACGAATTAAATATTGTAAAGTTTCGGAGCATCGGCTGGGGATAGTCCTGCACGATTCGCTGTTGCGTTCCAATTAACAGTGCTGCTCCTAAAGTGGCGCATGGAGTTAGTAACAAAGCCTACACAGAACACGCAGAAAGATATGATGATGTGGTTGTGAGCATCAGAGAAGAAGTAGGACGGTGTATGTAGGTGGGTGTAGAAAACTACCAGCTGAGCGTGAGAGCGGGCCAGCTGCTTAAGTAGACCTCGGTCTCGGGGGTTAACGATGATAGTTAGCAGGCCTGCCACTGCGCATATGGTAGTGAGTACATGTATGTAGGTGGGTGTAGAAAAACTACCAGCTGAGCGTGAGAGCGGGCCAGCTGCTTAAGTAGACCTCGGTCTCGGGGGTTAACGATGATAGTTAGCAGGCCTGCCACTGCGCATATGGTAGTGAGTACATTACTAGCCTACAAAACACAGCTGAAAAACTCTGAAAAGAGAGCTGAGGGGCGGTGCCTGAAAAGGATGTTAGCCAGCTCTCTTGAGCGAACCACATCAGTCATTGAAAACACTTGGGGTTGGCAAAAAGGTCCCATTGGGGACTAGTTGCTGACGTGGAAACGTCCCCCACCAGTACCAGTACCAGTTCATTATTATTGTAATCTCCAGACAAACAACAAGAATTGGACATCCCCGTCGCCCGAGATGACGTCGGTGAGCCGCCCGCCAAAACCGCCCAGCGCAAAGACCGCCCACGGGGCGGCCCCTCCACCATGTCCCAGATATCGGGCGTCAACCGGAAGCTGTTGTGCCACACGAACAGCTTCGCGGGCGAGAAGCTGCCCACGTACGGAGTGGAGACCCCGTACGAGGACGAGCTGGGCAAGAGTTTGCTGACCATCGATCATTGGGGGATCGATATCTTCAAGATCGGGGAGCTGAGCAACGGCAGGCCGCTGACTTGTGTGGCGTATACGACGTTCAGCAATAGGGATCTGCTCAAAGCTATGGGTAAGTGAACCTCATACTAATAGCTATTTATATCGGGTGGTCACAAAAAAACCGGAAGTTTTTATTTTCCTCGTGGTTTCATCATTTCTCAACCGAATTCGAATTTCTTGGCGTCGTTTCATAGCTAAAGGGCTATAGTATACAATGGAATATTTGAAAATTCCATAATGAACAAAATCAAAATGGCTGGGAGATGGGAGAAAAAGAAAATCACATTTTTTCCAACCTGTACCGATGTCATCTTAGGCTATTGATTTCTGAAGAGAATGAGTACTCGAAAATCGAAATCGAACAAATAGTCCAGTAGATACACTCATTTCTTTGCAATTTGTTATGGAGTGAATGTGCGAATCTCGTATAAACGATTATTATTATTTTGCTTCAGGCTTCATGAAAAAAAAAATTGAATTTGGATTTCTCAGAGTTATTTCAAAGATAAAGAACTGTAGTACATAATGGAACATTTGAAATCTAATAATTGAAAGAATCAAAATGGTGGAGAATCCAGAATTTTTGTGATTTTCAAAAATCTCTGGCGAATGAAAAAATGTTTATTCTTCCAATCAGGAACGATACAATTTTAGATCATTGATTTCTAAAAAGAATGAGCACTCGAACATCTGAATCGAACAATTAGTCCAGGAGAAACACGTTCTTTTAGGCAAAGTGTTATGGAGTGAAATCCAAATTCGATCGAATTCTGATAAAGCCAGAAGCGAACTAAAAGTAATACTTATCACGCGATTGGCACATTCACTCCATAACACTTTGCCAAAAAGAAAGGGTTTCTCCTGGACTAATTGTTCGATTCAGATGTTCGAGTGCTCATTCTTCTTAGAAATCAATCATCTAAAATTGTATCGTTCCTGATTGGAAGCATAAACATTTTTTTATTCGCCAGAGATTTTTGAAAATCACAAAAATTCTGGATTCTCCACCATTTTGTTTCTTTCAATTATTAGATTTCAAATGTTCCATTATGTACTACAGTTCTTTATCTTTGAAATAACTCTAAGAAATCCAAATTCGATTGAATTTTCATGAAGCCTGAAGCAAAATAATAATAATCGTTTATACGAGATTCGCACATTCACTCCATAACAAATTGCAAAGAAATGAGTGTATCTACTGGACTATTTGTTCGATTTCGATGTTCGAGTACTCATTCTCTTCAGAAATGAATAGCCTAAGATGACATCGGTACAGGTTGAAAAAAATCTGATTTTATTTTTCTCCAGCGGTTTTTGTAAATGACAATACTTTGGTAGAATCCGCCATTTTGTTTTTGCTCGTTATAGAATTTTCAAATATTCCACTGTATACTATAGCCCTTTAGCTATGAAACGACGCCAAGAAATTCGAATTCGGTTGAGAAATGATGAAACCACGAGCAAAATAAAAACTTCCGGTTTTTTTGTGACCACCCGATATATCAAGGAAGGAAAGATATTCATTTCCTCCCGCGTGTAAAGTTTGATGCTCGACGCGTAGCGGAGGGCCAATAATTAATCATCAGTCCCCTTGCCCATTATCAACTCAACAAAAATATTAGAGGCCGAGTCAAAAGTGTTCGTTTGTAGCCAATGCACTTTGTTTCTGCTCAAATATACTACAATCTGCTTTGTGACGTCATTGATCTGATTTGATCGGCTTGCTCTAAGCATAACCAAGGACACAAATGAACAGAACTATCAACATTTTCCGTTTCGTTCCAGGCATCCCGGCCAAGACGTTCGTCACCTTTATGATGACCCTCGAGGACCACTACGTCAAAGACAACCCCTTCCACAACTCGCTGCACGCCGCCGACGTCACCCAAACAACGCACGTCCTCCTCAACACCCCCGCCCTCGAATCCGTCTTCACCCCCTTGGAGATCACCGCTGCCCTCTTCGCAGCTTGCGTGCACGACGTTGACCACCCCGGGCTGACCAACCAGTTCCTCATCAACTCCAGCTCCGAGCTGGCCTTGATGTACAACGACGAGAGCGTGCTGGAGAACCACCATCTTGCCGTTGCTTTTAAATTATTGTCCAATGACGGCTGCGACATCTTCTGTAATATGACGAAGAAGCAGAGGCAGACGCTGCGCAAGATGGTCATCGATATGGTGTTGAGCACCGATATGTCCAAGCATATGAGCCTGCTGGCCGATCTGAAGACCATGGTGGAGACCAAGAAGGTTGCAGGTGTGTATGACGAATTTCATTTCAGGTCTTTGTTTATAGCAGATCCCCAAGCTCCAATTCCTCCAGAAATGTTGAGTGTTTATGACGTACAGGCTTGTATTCCACTAGGTCCACTAGGAGATGATGACGTGTGATCTTCAGGTGCTGCTCTCTTCTCTAGTCTAGTTTCCTTAGAGTCTGCAATGCCTCGCTAGAAATCCAGTTATCGACTTGGGACTCATCTCGCTTAGATTGATCAGTGTCTTGAATCCTGCTTAGTTGAAGTTGCCGCGTCCTAGGAGTATTGTTACCTTCAGCTTCAAAAAGTCCTCAAAAGTATCAGTGCTCCAAGCTGTCGTTGTACAACGACGAAACAGTGGTGGAGAACCACCATCTTGCTGTAAGTAGCCTTCAAATTGTTGTCCAATGATGGCTGTGACATCTTTTGTAATATGACGAAGAAGCAGAGCAGACGCTGTACAAGATGGTGATCGATATAGTGTGCCTGCTGGCCAATCTAAAGAGCATGGTGGAGATCAAGAAGGTTGCAAATTCATTTTAGATCTGCGTGTTGATGAACAGAATGTGAGCTTCAGGTGCTACTCTCTTCTTAGTCTAGGTTCCTTAGGTGTTCTTTGAGTTGGCAAAGCCCCGCTTGAAGTCCAGTTGTTGACTTCACCCCAAATCGCTAAGGTTGGTGTGTCTTGGTTCTTGCTTAGTTCAAGGTGCCAAGAGAATCTTTGAACCACCGCAGTCCTAGGAATATTTGTCGCTCTGTTTTCTCCAGCTTCATCAAGTTCTTCTTAAAAGTATCAGTGCTCCAAGCACACGAGCCTACTGGCCAATCTGAAGACCATGGTGGACCGAAGAAGGTTGCAGGTGTGTATGATGAGGTTTATTTTAGGTCTAAGTGTTGATGAACATGATTCATTCTGCTTCCTCAAGCATTCTTTGTTTATAGCAAATCCTCAAGCTCAAATTCCTTCAGTATCTATTGGTGGTACGATTCCTGAGTATTACATATTTTATGTCGTACAGCATTGCATTTCACTAGTCTATCTTCCTAAGGTGTCGTTTGAGTCTGCAATGCTACGCCAGAAATCCAGCTGGTCATCTCGCTTGAGTTGATTAGTGTCTTGGATCTTGCTTAGTTGAAATTGGTGAGGAGATATCTGATAAGGTTTGATCTTCAAGTGCTGCTCTTGCTTTAGTTCACCTTCCTTAGGTAAAAAAACTTCCCTACTACTTTGTTGAAAATCCGGCTGCAACCATAGCGAAAATGAAATAAAGTGTGCTACGACGCATTTCTGTGACTGTTGACTTAGTGTTTCCCAAACTGTGAGTTGCGCTCATCAATTCACCGTCGTTATACCATCGATGGCCAACTCCAGTGTTTGACTCCCGACCTTTTCGTTCCAGGTTCCGGCGTCCTGCTGCTGGACAACTACACTGACCGCATCCAGGTGCTGGAGAACCTCGTGCACTGCGCTGACCTCAGCAATCCCGCCAAGCCGCTGGCGCTCTACCGCCGGTGGGTGGACCTGCTGATGGAGGAGTTCTTCCTGCAGGGCGACAGGGAGCGCGAAGCCCGCATGGACCTCAGCCCGATGTGCGACCGGCATTCAGCCACCGTCGAGAAGACGCAGGTTGGTGATTGATTTATTCATCATATAATGGGAAATATCGGGGAGTTCTGTCTATCGGGCTACAAGCAAACTACTTTATTGCTTTGCCAAGCTTTCGAAAATTTTCATTTTCTTCTTCAAGGCTGAAACAATATATTGTATATGGAACATTATTGATTTCAACCATCTCTAAAAACAGTCTTTTTGTTAAATTTTTTTCTGGATGCAAAATTTTGACATCTTCAGCGAGTCCATAATTACTTTTGAGAAGTCTGCAATTACAAATTTCCTAATGTTTTCTTCAGGTCGGCTTCATCGACTACATCGTGCACCCCCTGTGGGAGACGTGGGCCGATCTGGTGCACCCCGACGCGCAGGATATCCTCGACACTCTGGAGGAGAACCGGGACTGGTACCAGAACGCGATACCGCCCAGCCCGCCCCCGGAGGATGTACCGGATCCGATGCGGCCCGGCATTCGGTTCCAGGTAATTATACACCCTACAGTATACAGGGTGTCCCATAATTAGCGTGCAATACTTCACCAGCAGATTTAGCGATTGAAAATATGAAAAAAAGCTCCTATGAAAATAGGTCGAACAATGTCTCATAAGCGAGCTACAGCCCCTTGAAGGTGTTACCCTGAAGATGGTTTTTGTTATATCTTCGAAACTGTTGTTAGCAGAATTATGAAATTCTGCCTAATAATATGCGATAATAATAATTTGAAATTTCCCTCCAGGAATGGGCCAAACTGTAGGGGGTGGGGGGTTAAATCACCCCAACTTTTTTTAGTGCCTTTTTTTCGCAACTTCATCATGAAATTATGAAACTTTGAAGCATTTTGCATGAAAAAGTTCCTATTATTCAACTTCGATAGGAATCACCGTTCTCGAGTAAACTGAAAACATGCTTAACAAACTTAAACTTAAACGTCAATGTCATTCGTTGTCAAGACACTGAATAGCATTTGAGGGGTATCTCCCATAGAGTAATGAATTTGCACCTTCGAAGCGCAGAACTATAATCATTGAAATATATTGCCAGTGAAAAAAATTCAAAATACCCCATTGGTAGTAAAGGATATTATTTACCACGGGACCTTATACCCCTCGGTTGAAGCCTCTGGATATTACCTTGATTCCTGGGTAATAATGATACTCTTTACTACCTCGGTGTATAGATAAATAATTTTCATGCCCTAATTCTTGATATTTCGTTCCAGGTGACGCTGGAAGAGGGCGACGCCGAATGCGAGACGGACGCCCCGATGTGACGGAGGCTGGCCGGCCTCTGCAGAAAGCTCACCGAGAAGGTGCACCAGTGGTGGCGCGTCAGGCAGTAGGCGCTGGCGTCCTCTGCCCCCCCACCCAGACCTCCCCCCTCCCCCGCCACCCCGAGTTTTGCCCCCTTTATGCCCGCGCTGGCGCGGCCTTTGTTATGTTTGCATCTCGCTTCTCTCGACTGACGATTTACTACCGGATTTTTTGTTTGTTGGTCTCTTGTTTTTCTCCCTAGCCTTTTTCCTACTCGTTCGGGCTGAGGCACGCAGCCTGCTGGTGATTTTTTTTTACCCTTTGCCACCCCTATTTCCCGATGGGCCAGTCGGCAGAGCGAGAGAACTTGTACTATATGAGGTGACACAGTGCTTAACAGACAAGTTGAGCCTGCTTTGAGAGAGGAATGAGTAATCAAACTTCCATAATGTTGGTTCTACATTGGTAGAGGTTTTTAGGTTGTCTAGTCACATACAATTGTATTGAGAAAAACATTAACAGGTATTAGAAAGAGAAATAATTAACGTCATCCTATATTTGCGTGAAACGGGCGATAGGGAATTGAGTTGCGTTTTATTTGTTTCATTCTGGTAACGGTGGTGGGAAAATAATGACGTTTGCAAATAAAACAACAATCTTCATGACCTAGCATGAGAATAGATGATAAAACTTAAATTTATATATTGTTGCTCCGAATAATTTCAAAATCATATCACTAGAGTTGAAGATCAAAAAAATAAATCAACGCATATCTGTAGCAATGCTTGTGCATGCTGATTGGAGATAGTTCTCCGAGATCGAGAGGATTCATTTTATCTGGGAATGAAGATTTGAAACCTGTCTTACTCGGAAGAATCAAAACTTGTGAAGCTCAAGATGCAAATGTGTTCTAATCGTGTTCCACTTCCGAAAAGATTAGTTTTTCCTCAATCCACATCATTCCTTGTAGTGAGACGGAATGAAAAGTAGCAACCGGAATCGGAAAAGTTGCAAATAAAACGACACATTGAAGAGATTCCGGGGTCGGAATCGGATAAATAAAACGCAACTATTGTTTACCAAAAGTTGACAGTTGTCATAGGTTGTCAAACATACAAAGCATTAGTTGCGTTTTATTTATCCGATTCCGCTACCGGAATCACTTAAGTGTGTCGTTTTAGAAGGAGACGTGAATGATTGGCGAAGAACGAAACTTTTTGAAAGATGAAGACAGCCACAAGACATTTTTATTATTCTTTAAAGTAAGGTACGTTTTATATGGTTTCATATCTTCATTCACAGATCAAATGTAATCTCTCGAGAGAACTTTCACCTATCACCGCAATCACTGTTCCAAATATGCGTTAATTTATTTTCTTGATTTTTAACTCTAGTACTTTGATTTTGAAAATATTTGGAGCCCAAATATATGAATATAACCTCGATAATCTATAATATGTCTATTTCTTTCGTGGGAGGATTGTAACTTCATGAAGTTTCTCGTTCTATTTGTAAATGCGTCAACCTGTTCCATCCACCGTTACCAGAATGAAACAAATAAAAAACAATTATTGGTTGAGCCAGTTTTACACAACTAGAACTAGGCTGACGTTAACCTCTCTTTTAAATACTTCCGCTTACAACTCAGGGTTACAACGTTGATCAATGATTATTTCATGTAGGTACCGAAAAACATGAGAAGAAGACTCTTTCAACCTCATTTACATTCTCCTTCAGAGTTACCAATATGGAATTTTCATTCAGGGTAGAAGGGAAGACATGTTTGTCTCTATCAACGCTGGCTATCGAGTAGGTACCTTCTGATTGGGCCTTTTCGGCAACATATTCGGGTTTAGTCGGTCCATCGATGGTTATAATGTCACTATCTCGGGCACTATGCTTTTTCTTGAACAATACTTTTTGGAAGAATCGCGTTTGCAACTTCAAACACTGAATTTTGATAGATTCTATAGTAGCAATTGGATGTTTTGAGTTGCAAGCCTGATTCTTGTACAGAATGGACATAAAGTGTCATAGGCCATAAACATATTGTAACGGTGACAAGAGCAATATTAGCGTCGATGGAAACGACGATTGGAGCTACAAAATTCGGCGAATGATTACGAGTTTTCGTTCTCAAAACAATTTGAACATGTCTCGAACATTATCTAATATACCAAACATACATGCTGTCGATAAACCAACCTATAACTACCGCACAATAGTTGATTTTATAGTTATGGACTCCTTTCATGTCCACCAGATTTGTTGATATTATCAAATTGTTAGATGAATTCAAAGTTTAAATGTCATTGTTACCATCCTTTTATTGTGCAAGATGTTCTATGTTCCTAATTTGAACGATTCTCTAGTTTGACCTACATATGTTTTTTCGCAATATCTACATGATTATCTTATCCTCTTACCGATATAGACCATGATTTATGGAATGGTGAATAAAAAAAACCTTGAAACAGTCACGTGACCTCATTGGATCGGTTCGGTGCGGTGATATGTTCTCGAAAAGGCCAATATTTGAGATGAAAGGATAATTGACTAAATCAGAAATCAAATTGATTTAAAAAAAATAATTGATGTTGGGAATCTCCTCTCCAAAGAGCATTATCATTGATAAGAGCATATTTTTTTGCACATGAATACAGGGTGTTCCTGAATTCAAGTGACAATGGCCTGAGGTAGATTCATTTCATACATGAATGTCCGAAAACGGTTCGTACACAGAGTGTTGAAATTCAATATATAAGAATTATTTTGACGATTTGAATAACATTTTTACAGCTTCTTGAAAAGTTCATGAGGTATCTTTATGGATCACTCATAGTTAGTTGAGCATGAAAAGTAACACCAATAGCTTCATCTTTCATGGTTTTTTTGGTTAATGCAATTGAGAATTCAACTTTCAGGTTTCTCGATGTTTTCCTTTCTAACCAACTTTGTATCCGAAAAAAAGACTATAGGAACTAATTGAAAAAAAAATGTTAGAGTGAAAAACTCTTTTCTCTTTAAAAACGAACTATTTTCGGGCATATGCGTGTATGGGAATGTTTCTTCTTATTTTTATGGAAAAAATCTTCCATGAGTTTCAGTAAGTTCAGAACCTTTTCCGACTGGCCTAGCAGACAGAATGTAGCTCTTGTGAGTACTTTTTCGAATTTGGATTTTCTACTAGAGAGACCTTGGTGTATTTTGATCGTGGATTTTTACTTGACAGAGTTTAGACAACTAATGTTTTGGCTTTTTTACTGTTTTCTGACTTATGTTTTTGTGATTCATGTGTGTCAAAAATATATTTATTAAAAAAAAATTTGAATACTTATTATTTTTTTTATAAAACACTAGATTCCGCATGTGTGACAAATGAAGAATGAACTGCTGTTGATTTGAAATTTCATACATCAATAATATGTAATAATTGCACGACAATAATTTTCAAAGACAGATGAAGCAAGTTGAAGTTAACTCACTATTATTGAGAAAATAGAGAAAATAGCAATACTATGATGAACTTGTTGAATTGAAATGCTTCAGATGTTAGTGATAAGTTAACAGATTATATATTTTTAATGTGTTTGTTGATCGCACAAATATAATTGAGAATATTTTTTGTTCTTTCCTATGGCGAAGTTGATAACAATACCATGTTATATACAGTACGTCTTGCTACAAGTCTAATCACACTGGTACTAAGGAATAAGGAGGATAGCTCCAAATTATCTTTTTCAGAATTGAGAGTGATATACTGGGAGTTCAATTAATAAACTATAATTAGAAAAAAATTACGAAAATCAGAATGAATAGCATACGTATAGGCATGGGATGAAAAATAATATTGAAAAATATCAATTTTCACTTGTTGAAATGTTCATTTTTACGAATTCAAGATTGAAATCATTTATTTATTTATTGAAAATGTGACTCGCAGTCAGAAACAAGTTCAGGTATAAGAAAGTATAGTTACCAATAATACCTAACTATCCAATTATAAGAAACTCAAAAATAATAATATTTTAGATACATTAAATATGAAATTCATTTCATTGGTGAACAAAAATCAATTTGAATAGCAATCAAAAGGAAAAGGAAAAAAGAAAAAATAACCATCTATTTCGTTCAGAAATTATACATTTTTCAAACTCGTATTTGAAAGATAGCATTTCTGCAATTTTTATATCATCTGGTGATTTTTCATACTCAAACAGAGCAACATGGGTGAACCTTTTTTGACCTGTAGGAGAATTAGCAATATCAAGATGAAATAAACTATGTTGCCTAGTTTGGTAATCATGAATTTCATTGTTTCATGTTGAAATAAAATTGGATTTCAATCTTTTATTTGTGATATTTTCAATTTTGAACATTTCTTCTAATGAGAATGATTGTGTTATTTTATACAGGGTGTCTCTGAAAGGTCTGTACACAATCTAACCACATATACCTGAGGTCAAAATGGGCCGATTGAAATTAACTTACCTCAGTCCGAAATTGCTCCATTTCCTAGATACAGGGTGGGTACAGTACAGTTAAGAAATGAAAATCGAATTTTTCAAATTTTATGGTTATTTTAAAAAGTACCACTTCAAATATTGGTAGCCAATGGCTTTTTGGGGTGCGAAACCCGAATACGGACACCCTTTCACTGTGGCCATTAGAGGGCGCTTACAAATGCGCTTCTTATGGTTTGGAATGGCCATAACTTTTTTTTCAGTGTAGTTTTCACTTTTTTGTTGAGAAAATATTTTTCTGAATATTTTCAAGCGAAAAATGTGCTCTTTGGAAAATCACGGAATTGCGCCATTTTCGACATAGGTATTTCGGTTTTGAGTGTTCGATGCCGCACCGGAATATTCAAATTCTTTTAAATAAAAAATGTTTGCTGTAATTTTCATGGATGTATATTGATCAGTTAGTGAGCAGTGTAAAAATGGATTTTTCAAAATACTTTTTGGAGTGTGCTTACCAATTTTTATTTTTAAATGTACCACCCTGTAACTCGGAAACGGAGCAATTTCGGACTGACGTAAGTTGCTTTAAATCGACTCATTTTTAACTCAGGACTATGTGCTAAGATGTTGTGCCGACCTTTCAGGACCTCCCTATATAACTCCCTCTATATCATTGTTTCAAGTATATTTTGAACAAAAAAAATTTACTGTTTAAGTGGGACACCATCTATAATCTATTAAATAGATGGCAAGAGAAGATACCACCCCTGTAACATTTGAATCTTACAAAATGAAAAGTTGGGTGTTATAATGCCACTTTGAAAATTATTTTGAAAAGTATCACATAAGTTATAAAGAGTCTTTGATGAAAGTTAGCAGCAGTTTAATAGGTGGACATCACATTTTTTATTTCATATCATCAGAGTTTATGTATACATTTTTCGTAAAAAATCATATTCACTCATCACCTATGTATACTGAAAATAAAAAAAATCATTCTCGAAGCATTGTGTGTTTGACGTGCCCAGTAAGATAGGCCTTACATTTTTACTATATTCACGTAACATGGGGCTAACTTTTTTCACTTGAGTTCATAAGTAATTCTACTAGATATAAATAATACATTTCTGTGTTGAAACTGTTAGCTTGAAAGAGAGTGTGTGCTCTTTTAGCAATAGAGTGTTCTGCAATGAAATTTGACTCGATTTTTGTAAGTTTCGATACCCCCCAAATGTTTCAATTCATTTTTTCGCTTATCCCTGAATAAGGAGACATATCTACTCGATGTAGTGCTTTCAATGACAATGATTCAAAATGCAATAAAGTGAGTGCGACAACGGAAATTGTGTACCAGGTTACCAGATTATATTCCAAATCCAACTGTCAGTAGTGCCACTGAATCGTTAAGCACTTGCACTTAACTGACATCCGTCAGTTACTTCATCAGCAACTAATTTTTTTTCAAGGTTATGTCATGACATGAACACAGACTTATTATACCAACATTTGATGATTCAATGATTCCATGAGGGGGACAAGGAAATGCCGATCAAATTACTGAAATACAATTGAGTATTCTGAAATACAATTGACTATTCCTAAAGACAATTGACGCTTTCTGAACTACAAGTGATTATTTTAAAATTAAATTGACGCTTTCTGAATTTAAATTGACGCTTTCTGAAATACAATAAAATTGGTGCTTTCTGAAATTCCGTCTGAAATACAAATGACCATTCTGAAATGCAATTGATACTTTCTGAAATACAAGTGTCTAGTCTGGAATAAAATTGACGCTTTCTGAATTTGAATTGACGCTTTCTGAAATACAATTGATCCTTTCTGAACTACAAGTGATTATTTTAAAATTGAATTGACGCTTTCTGAAATACAATAAAATTGGTGCTTTCTGAAATTCAATTCACCCGTCTTAAATACAAATGACCATTCTGAAATGCAATTGATACTTTCTGAAAAACAAGTGACTAGTCTGGAATAAAATTGACGCTTTCTGAATTCAAAATGACGCTTCCTGAAATACAATTGATGCTTTTTGAAATTCAATTGACAATTCGTATATACAATTGATATTTTCTGACATACAAGTAACTATTCTGAAATACAATTGACGCTTTCTGAATTAAAATTCATAATTCTGAAATACAAATTGCGCTTTCCGAAATACAAATTACGCTTCCTGAAATACAATTATTGATGATTTCGATGAATACACGTGATTATTCTGGAATACAACTTTGATGATGCTGAATTGAAACTGGAAAAGATAAGGAGAATGAAAATCCAGCAATGCATGACCGTGTTTGAATATGAATAGTTCAGTCTCCTCGGGAATAATAAGTCTATGGTCATGAATGAAATGTAGTTAGTTGATGAAAACAGATTTTTTTTGTGCATTATATTCCAAAACACTGAGCAGAAATCACGATTGAGATTGAACCACGAAGCACAAAATCAAAAACACTCTTTTTAAACCATTTCAAGATGTCCCAAAATATTTAGGAGACATTTAGTAGACGAATTTCTGGCATCAACTTCTACAATGTATTGTATCAATGGTATCTGTCATCGTTGATAAGAGTTGACAGACTGTCGGATTCAGTAACTATTCACAGCTGAATTCGGAATATTAACCGATTGACTCGCCAGCTCATATTACAGTGTTGTTCTTTAGGTAAAATCGAGACTACCAAAGAATATTTTTTGGTTTCGGTATATCGCGTAAGCTGTAACTTATGGTGGTATGCAACATTTACATAGTCCTAGTCTTTTAGTTCTAAGCACAGTCTTAGTATTAATTTTTGTCTTAAAGAACTTGATTTAAGCATAAGAGTCATGTGAGAATTTGTGGTTCTTTTTCTATCAGAGATGAGGAAAATTATCTATCAAACTTATCGACATCTGAGCTTTCTCATAATATTACTTTGGAACATGTAAACAACAAATCATCAACAATTCTATCAAAGGAGCATGCGCCAAATCCACATAACATAAGCATAAGCATAAAAGTTCAAATTAATCAACTTTCAAGGTCGTTTCTTATGCTTAAGACTAAAATTGTGGTGTAAACGGCCTCAAGCAAGTACCTCAGTTCAACTTCTAGTTATGCTTAAAATTATGACTATGATTAGGATTATGCAAATGTTTCATAAATCTACCATTATACGAACCTGTCAAGTAGAAATCGGTCAGTGTTTATCGAAGGGTATCCGAATGTTCACCCTTTTGGCCTTTCCACGACCCTCGACACGCCTTAACTAGAAAGAAACCACCCTCCTATACTAACTGAACATCTGTATATAGTCATAATGTCCTTTGGTGTAATACTCAGCCCCGTGTATGTATAGGTACTATGTGTCATGTCAGCTATGTTACATAAGTAAAGCTCTCTCATTTTAGATCGTGTTTCAATTTCTATATCCTTTCCCCTGAACCTCACTTTTGTTCCTGTATATCCTACGGAAAAACAAAACTGTTCCAAAATCGTTCCAGTTCAATATTCCTTTTTTCTACTCACATAACTAAAATGGCATTTATCGTACGGATATGTACCACGCTAAATGATCGATTAATCACGGATTGACGATCTGTGACTTATTCAAAATATTAAACACGTTACCATGGCAACACGATTTCTTAAACACATTACCATGGCAACACAGATTATTAAACACAGCTTCAGCTATTCGAGACATGTCTGGCCTGTCAATTGTATTAACTATCAACTGTTATTTTTATATTTTGTATCAGAATTATTCCAACAATATTCGTTTGTATCAGAATTCTTCATTAAAAATATATGCGAAATGTAGACGAAAGTGAAATCGAAGAGAATGTTCTGGTACTTGCATATCTCCAAGAAGTGTAAAAATGAAGCATCCATCTTTGAGAACAATTCATTTATACTGCGCTAAGCATGACAATAAACGTGAAACAAAGGTTAGTAAGCAATGGACTGGACACATCTACAACCAATATCACTTATACGTGTCTCGCTGGTTGCATGCAGTTGCATGTATTATGTTCTCAATTCCCATTCCTTTCGAATTATTTTGTAGGTTAGCAGGAATAGCAGGTATAATAATGTAATTTTCGGAGTTCGTAGAAAAAGCATAGTATTTAACGCGTTTATAAACTCTTCTAGACACTCGTTTATTAAACACTCGCTCCGCTCTGCTCCGCTCGTGCTTAAAATACTCGTTACAAAAAGGACGCGTTTATAACACTTGTTACATAATATACTATTTTCTACTCACATAACTAAACTGACATTTAGTTGACGGATATGTACCACGCGTAATGATCGATTAATCACGGACTGATGATCTATGATTTATTCAAAAAATTAAACACATTACCATGACAACAGGGTTTTTTAAACACACCTTCATTCGTTCGAGACCTGCCCGGCCTGTCGATTGTAGGAACTGTCAACTGTCATTTTCGAATTTTGTTGCAATCCGAATTATTCAAAACGATTTCTGTTTGTATCAGAATTCTTCATTAAAAATGTATGCGAAATGTAGAGGAAAGTAAAATCGAAGAGAATGTTTTAGGTACTTGCATATTTCCAAGAACCTTTGCCCAACATAAGCTTGTCAGGAGTAACCATACCTTTGAAAACATCCATTTCGATGCTTGATATTACTATCAGCAATAACCTTTCTTGGGAAAATCACGCGTGAGATCAATTGCTAAAAGTGCATCCCAAAAACTTGGTTTTCTGTTTCGGGCCAGGAGCTATTTCACTTCCGGTCAGCTGCTTATGATCAATAAGGCACAGATTTAACCTGTCCTGGAATACTGTTCCCATATTTGGAGTGCAGCACCCAAACATACCCTGAACCTGTTGGATTCTGTCCAAAAAAGAGCAATTCGTCTCGTGGCTGATGCCTCGCTCACAAATTCACTCACTTCTCTGGAACACCGTAGAAAAGTTGGCGATCTGGTTCAATTTTATAGATATTTTCAAGGACGATGCTCTTCTGAAATATCACAAATGGTTAATCCCTTGGCAGTCCCCGCGAGATTAACCCGTATAGTTGAGGCTTCGCACCCCTTTATGGTCACTTTGGAGACCTGCAGAACACCTCTTTCCAAAGACTCGTTCACCCAACGAACAGCGAGGCTCTGGAACACATTGCCAAGGGAGGTGTTCTCCGAGGCATATAACCTCCAGAAATTTAAGAAGAACACCAATTCCTACCTTATTTCCCTTGGTTCTCACGATGTTCTCTGAACATTACAGGATATTTCTTTTCGTAGGAACCAGAACATAAAAAAATTACAATAAACGTAAAGCACAATATTCATGTGAGCAAAATTATGCAATCAGAATATGGATATAAACCTGAGAAATCAAAAACTTCGACACCTCAGCGAATCGAAGATTTTTTATCTACTTGGTCAGATGAAATCTTATTCACAAAGGTCAGTAAACAAGCCATTTCAATAGAAATTCAAGTAAGTATCCTATGGACTGGACGCACATCTACAACCAATATAACTTATACGTGTCTCGTTGTTTGCATACAGTTGCATAGTATTATGTATTATGTTCTCAATTCCCATTCCCATTCCTTATAATAGCTGTGAATTCTCGTTACTGGCAGTCTCGTTTCAGAGTCTTTTTGTTTCAAGGTATTTTTCAACTGTTCATCCTTTTCTTTGATTTTTGGTCTGCATTTCTTATCATTCTCTATTAATAAATTTTGAATGTTTGCATATTTTCTCTCTAAATCTTCGATAATTTTGCTAGCTGAACTCAATTCCCACAATGACCGCTTCATATTCTGTTTCCATTTCTGTAGCTGATGTTTATCATGGGGGAAATGGAATGAATGAAATGATTCTCTTCTACACTTGCAGTTTTAAACTACACAATTAGCCAATTTAATTTTTGAAAAACTGAATTTTCAAATAATTCAATGTCATGTACGTTCATGAACTGTCAGTGCCCGTCAAATTGGTCATGTCATTTAAAATTTTTCAGGGTTATGACTCCATCCACTGCTTGTCATAGTTTCCGTACTCTTATTACAGCAAAACTGTCAAATACATAAGGGACTCTAGGTTAATCTAATTCTCAGAATTATAGGATCTTGTTGAAGAGAGGAATTATTAGTTCGTAGAAAAAGTATAGTATGTAACGCGTTTATAAACACTTCTAGACACTCGTTTATTAAACACTCGCTCCGCTCTGCTGCGCTCGTGCTTAAAATACTCGTTACTAAATTGACGTTTATAACACTTGTTACATAATACACTATTATAAACTATCTTTGAAAATGTACTTCATGATATTGAAGGCATAAATGAACAACTAGAGAAACACTAACCAATGTATTTTTCAACGTACTTAAAACATGATACAAGACCAAACACTTAAAATAAGACAGCTCCACTGTCATCTTAACCTCCCAATTGTTTGTAGAGGATTGGAACATAGTCATCGAACTCGGCTTGATATAAGTTCCCAGCAATAGGTTGCCCCAAGTTATATTTAGATGCGAATTTTCTGATGGAAAAACCACCCCTACCATCACCTGAACTGAAAAACAAAAAAATATCACCTCATTTGTCCCTAAAACTTCCAATAACTGATTATTGGGCAGAGTTCTAATTATTCCTCATTTTCACTCATTCATGTTATCAACATAATGATTAAAAAGTACTTAATGTTTAATTTCAGTGCACGATGACCGACCCTAGAGGGAAAATATTGAAACACAACTTCACTCTTCTGTGAAAAATTGAAACACACCCTCACTTTTTTATTTGTTTACAGAAGAATCAAAGGATTGAAATAGTTTTTCACAATATTTTGACATACGAATCGTGTTTTTTGTGCTATTCATTAATTCAAGCATGCCTTCGCATTGTACTGTTGTACAATGCACAAAAAATGTAGCGAGAGACGAAGGAATATGATTTTTCAGGTAAATAGTAATCTCACATAGTTTTCATTATAAAATTTTGTCTTTTCTTATTAGAATTCCTTCTGCAATAGAAGCTAATACTGCTGAAAGATTGAAAATGTCTACAAAACACATGATCATATTTCGTCAGGATATCAGACCAGTACTCCCGTTTTATAACATGAATATAATCTTCTTGCATTATTTTAGAAATTTCACGAGTATTTTTATTAGTTCCTATTGCAGAAGGAGTTCCGATGAGAAATCAGAGAAATTACCGAATTTCAAAAATGAAAACTATATGTGGATGACTACAGTAGGTGCATACTTTTAAATCATAATGTACCAACCGGATTCCTTCGTCTCCCGCTGCATTTTTTGTGCATTGTACAACAGCACAATGTGAAGGCATGCGCGATTTAATGAATAGCCGAAAAACACGATTCGTATGCCAAAATAATTGTGAAAAACTATTTCAATCACTTGTAAACAAATAAGAAAAGTGAGGTTGTTTTTCAATGTTTCACCTCCATGGTCGGTCATCTGACAGTTCTTGCACGCAACCCATACATCCAATTTGAATACTGTACCCTGCTATCTAAGTTATACATACTATCTATTACTCTACATACTATCTACTAATTGAAAGGATATTCGCATTCAAATACAAAGTGTCTGAGAACATATAATACTGTGGCCCTGTGACTGAGAACCTGGGAGCCAAACAGGCCTATTCAGTCTCTTAAAACGTTATCGTTACGTGTCGTTAGTGAATGACATATCGTTAAAAAACGATAATTTTCTTGAATCGAATTCACTACCGATTTGACAGTCGGTAACGAACGACAAGCTGTCATCAGAACATCGTTTATAGACGATAGCTATTCAGAGTATCGGTAGGATAACATGAACACAAAAACAATGAACATGATATACTCTCATTCATCGGTTTCCTGTTGGGGATGAATGAAGTTAGTCTTTTCGAATCTTCAGAAGGGTTTCAGAGGATTTAGATATAAATATTTGTAGATATTCACCGTTTATTTCGATTCAGACAAGTGAATAAAAATTTGAATAGACGCTTGAGGGATGCTAGTAAACCATTCGAAAGTCCTATCAAGGAAACTTTCGGGAGGATTGTCGGTTACCCAAAGAGCTATAGTTTGGGGGGTATTCTCTCATAATATGTTACTGCATCCCAAGGAGGCCAGTAGAAATACTAATATATATCATCAGTTGTTGGAAATATAATCGGAAAGTACCTACGTACTGATGTACCTATCTGTTGTTACCAAAAATCTATAGAAAGAGACAAATCATGAGCTATGTCCCAAGCAGATGTATCTATGAAATATCAGACAAACTTGTAGACAATTACCTCACTGTACCAAATCGTCCAGATATTATATATGTTGAAAATGGGTATGATTTCAAGTTACAAAATAGGTAGATTGAGAACTGAATTATTCAAAACCCATATAAAAATAATACGTAGGTACTGTTCTCCATTGCTATTCATCCCTCATTGGGCCTCTGGAACTATTCAATTATAGAACCAAACCACTCCAAGTTCCTTCCAGGATATTGGGGTTTGTGGGTTCATATTGATTTGATGGAAAGTATTTATTTCCCTGCAGTTCCTCCACGTATATTCAAACAATAACGAATCACTGTTTGAATATTTTAGCACTCCGGTGACTGTAAGTAATCCTACTTCCCTTAGAAACATTATCTTCTCCAATTATTATAGTAGAAGACTCGGTAGAAGATCTCTGATATATTCGCGAGATTCACGAAGTGGGCGACATCTACGTTACATAATACGAACTTCAAACTGGGGGAAAACAAACTGTTGTCTATGTATAAAGTGCATAGACTACATCGCATTCAGCTTGCTGTAGCTGTAGTCAAACTTGTCAATGACATAAAGTGTTGGCACTGTTGGTAGTGATAGTTAATTTTTTTACATTATTACATTTTTATTAGTTTAGTGAACAGTGAACGGGTGAAGAATTGGAGATAGTTCAAACAATTCAAACTAATTATGACGAGCAAATCAATTGACATATAAAAGAACAGCTACAACATGTTTACAATACCAAGATTGTCCTGCTTTGCAGGAACAAATACAAATCCATTATTCTACAGGATACATAACGATTTGTCAATGTAAGACAAATAATGTCACTTTATGTCATACTATCTATTCTGAAAATATATACTTCTTGTTAATTTTCGAATATTTCAACTACATATCTTACAGAATGCATTTTTTCATCAAGTTGTTCGAATTGTCGTTACATATTAGGATAACGATAGTTGTTATCTAACGACTCGTAACATAACTACTTTTTACTGAATAGGCCTGAAAGTCCTCAAAACATATGTGCCTGATATATACAGCATGTTATCGAAATAAATACTTGAAAATGTCTCGATACTCAAAGTTTCCACGTTGATTCTATAAAACCAAGTTGAAAACACCAATTTTGCCCAAATTGATCATGACAAGCTCTAGATTCACTTACGTATTGGTCAATCTCTTCTCATCGAAAGTAAGTTTTCCGTTCTGTTTGTACACCAAGAAAACGTATCTGTGCAGGCCGGTGCCCTGTGGTGGGCCGGAACCAACATACTGCGAGAGAACCTCCCCCTTTCCTACATCAGAACCCGGGACATTTCCCACCAGCCAGTGGTGCCATTCACGGAATTTAGGTTCTTTGCGACTAGGTGCATCTGGATCTGAAATCAATAAAAAAATACGTGATGTGATGCGCGTTACAAGCAAGTGAATAACAAGATATTCAATATCAAAACTCATGGAGACATCAAATGAAACACACCTGTCATGCAAACAGTGTAGAAAGCGCTTTTGTCTGCTTCCCATTTTACGGTAGGCACATCCTTGACCAAGGTTGGAGTTAGAACATTACCGTGTTCAACTTTAGCTCCACTGGGATAGCTAACCTAAAAAGAAAATTGGATTCACACCAATCTATGATTCTCAAAGACGTTTTCGTCTTCTTAGATTTGATTATAGCAATTATAGTATAGCCAAATCCAAGAGGCCAAAGTAAACAAACTGACCAATGCGTGATCTCCAATCGGGTACTATCCCAGATTTTTGGAAAAATTCTTATGTTGTGCCAATTTACTAGAAAAATGAAAGAAAAGACTCTGTTTTGAACTATCGTCCAATTACAAGATATCGCTCATACCCAAAGCATTTGTATCTATTGTGAATGATTTTCTGAAACTTAAATAAAAAAAAAACTCAAAAATATCAGTTCAACACAACATGGTTTCTGCCAAGAAAGATCTATTATTACAAATCTTTTACTATATGTCTATGAGACCTACATTGTCGATGCCTTGGAGAAGGGACTCCTTGCTATAAATTCAGTTCAATATTATTATATGCTGACGATATGAAAATATATCTCAAATTAGAGGGACCCTCCTCCTCAATTCATCTTCAAGAGGATTTGGACAAGTTCTGTGTGTGGTGCCACAAAAAAAACTAGTTCTGAAGATTCCCAAATGTAAATATATTCGTTTCAGCAAAAATGACAGCATGATTAACAATGATGAGTACTCATTAAATGATGTGGTCATTGAAAATGTAGACATTATGAAAGATCTAGGTTACATTTTGACTCTAAACTTAGCTTTACTCCTCATATTGAATTTAGTAACAAAGCTTTGAAAATGCTAGGGTTCATCAAACGATCAACAAAGGGCATAATTTTGTTGCGTTGACATCCCTTTACTTTTCATTTGTACGCTCTCAACTTGAAAATAGCAGCTCTGTGTGGTGCCCTGCCTTCCAAGCTCATATCATGAAAAAAGAAAGGGTTCAGAAACGTGTTTTGCGTTATATTGGTTTCAAGCTGGGTATTCCTATGAAGGAATTTAATAATGACAATATTTTAAATTGCCTGAACATAAAAAGCCGAGAAGAGCGTAGAAGCAACACTGATATCATCACTATTCAAAAAATATGTAATGATCAGATTGATAGTCCTGAATTTTTGGCCTCCCTCAAATTTCATGTTCCTCAAAAACGATTACGATATAGCAGCACATTCAATTTAGAAACTCATAGAACTATATATGCAATCAATAACCCGATAAACAGGATGATGACGGAGTGAACTGGGACATTTTCAACACTGGCACTGAAAGAGCCAAACGCATTCTTGCCCTAATGTAATGTCACAGTATATTATCCTTTCACGAGAGGATAAATATTACTGTGGTAATGTTTTTATATTTAATGTACATTGTATTTAATGTGTATATATGTATGAATGTATCTTCATTAATGTTCTGTGATATGTTTAGGGATCGCCCGTCAATAAATGAATAAATAAATTATATTTGAAATACTCTTCTATTGGTCAAAGCACCAGGAACGCTATGTCTGTAGGCGAATCACGCTCATGATCATGGCTGGCCTCTTGGTTTTGGAATTACTATACGTAGATACTCACCTCAATCACTTGTTCAGGAGCAACATCAACAACGTCTGGTACAACACCGTGCTTCTCCATACTTCGAACAACTGAAGAGAAAAAACGACTACTTACTAGTGGCCTTCTCAAAGCAAACATTCTAAAAATATGAGGAATGCTAGTATCAGGGCTGCACAGATATAGTTAGATAAATGAGAAATAAACCTTTATATGAATTGGTGAATATGCTTCAGGGATCAAAATAATTCGTATGAAGTCATAGGGGTTTTCCCAAGAAAATTCTGACAATTGAAGAAGTCAAAGGGTGGAGATAGAAATTCAGATTCTTCTGATATTTATAAATCATTGGGTTCCCTTAGTCACTGGGTAGCTCTATACAGGGTCCTGCCTATTCAATAGGGATATTATTGCTATTTCTTAAACGGTGAGTGATAGAAAGTTGTTTAAATTAGACAAAAATGCGTATTTTTAACCTATTCAATCTGACGTTTTGCAATTTGGAAGAATGACAGCCGTTCCAGAAATATTTTGGAAAAACTGAAAATCACTGATTTAATTTTCATTTATGTTCTTGGTTAATATTAGAAGGAGGAACTTTTGTCTAATTTGATCAACTTTCTATATCTTATATACCGTTTAGGAAATAACGAGGGGGGGAACAATAATTACCCAAAATGTGTACACCATATGTAAATATCTGGTAATTAAAAAGTATTTAAAATACTCAAAACTGGTACTTACGGTACTGTTAACAGGTACTTAAATACTGAAGTACTTAAAACGAGACTTAAAAGCTTATTAAATTGTACTTAATGTATTAAAAATGATACTTAAAGTACTTAAAATTCAATGATGTACACCTATTTAAAGAGTTGTTTCCCCCTCGGGAAATAACAAAGACTGTTCCTATTACTATTTCGGCGGGACACTACTTAATCATACATCTGTTACACTTTTCACGGTGAAACTCTCAATAAGAAAAAGAAAGATTTGGCTGTTGGAAAATCCCACCACTTTCCCAACCCCATACTTGTGCACCGCCCCTGGATTTTGTACATTCCATTAGCATCATTGAGAATTCAACAGAAACCTGCGTTTTCATTTTTCGTATTTTGATGGATAAGCTTCGTTTAAGATTATGCTGAATAAAATACAAAATAACGAGTTTAGTTACGCAAAATACTACAAGGAACTCCACAGAATGTGGTATTGATATAATTCATATCCATAACATTGTAAGGTTAAATAAAAGACAATTATCAACTTACTTTAGTTACACAAAACAATAAAAAATAAGTTGAACGTAGCTCAATTTCTCAGTTTTTCACAAATTGATTTTACTAAAGTTGGTAAAAATATATTTATTTCTGACAGTGACATTATAAGCTTATATCGTCATAGTTACGATATCTATTATGAGGGTCATAACTCCCTTGGGATGTTAGAGATGCTATAATTCCCTCTAGCTAAAATTAAATAAGAAATGCATAGCAACAACCACGCAATAACGTAGCAATAAGGAATCTCCTATTCGCGGTAGTCAAGATCATCATCTGACGTTCTGATGACATTGAAACTATACGGAAAAACATGTCTAACTTCCAATCGGGAAGGTATCTAATGAATGAAATCAGTCAGAAATAAAATTATCTATGTATCACGGGAATTATAGAGCCTCAATAACCTCTGGCAATTGCTGTCCCTCGGGCCAGAGGCCCTCGGGACGCAAACTTTGCCATCGGTAATTAAGGCCCTCATAATTCCCTTAATACATAAATAACTATTTCTCACGACACAATCGAATTAATATTCAGTATAAATTAAATTTGCCCACGTATACCTAATACCTGTATTATTAGGTTAAATGAAATAATGAAAAATTCAAAAGTAACTCAATCATTCAGTTTTTTTAATATTCATTTAGCTGAAGTAGGTAGAAATATATCTTCTCACATGGAACTTATCAACATATAGAATGAATTCGACGTTATCTGAAGTTGAATGTGAATGTCATTTTACGTATAAACGTCAAAAAATTTACAGTTGTTATTTCATGCTCTTTTCCCCAAGGAAAGGAGGAAACAATTTCCAGAAATTAGTTTAGTTGCTATGGTAACGATACAAAATACAGGCAGTTAATTGGTCGAAAATATTAGGTGTGAAATTTTCAACAAAAAACACCAACGCTTGCGTTTTTTACTTCTCATCTCAAGGAAACAACAAGAAAGCATTTAACCTCGGTTTTATCACTTCTTCCCCAAATGAAGTGAATAATAAGCACATTAACAACAATAACAGATTCACCCTGTATATAGTTATTGTAAAAGCCAGTCTTAAAAAATGCAAGTCATGATTACAGGAGAAAAAAATAAATTGAATTCTAGAAGATAAGAATATTGATTAAATAATGAAAATAACATATATTTGACCAAGATAAGGTTGCACAGCATGGGGCTCTCGAAAACGGGACGAGATACAAATTCGGTTAAATGGGAAAAAAAGAGGGTCATACCATGCAACGGCCTTGGAAAACCTTCAAAATTGTTTTTAGATTCTGTCTGTAGGTTAATCGAGGAGGTGGTACATTCATTTTACTTAGTTCTTTGATAGATATAGATATATTTCTTTCCTTCAAAAATTTTTTCAAACAAATTGTCACTGACAAGCTACTGGATTTTTCTTTTAGACTCCCTGATAGAAAAATTTGTTAAACGCAGTGACATTTTGGGGCAAATCATCTGATTTGTCCCTCTACAAATATATTGATATAATACGAATACTTTTATTCTATAGAAACGAGGAGAGAAAATCCCAAAGAACTAAGTAAAATGTTTTTAGTTTCTCGAAGTTTAATCACCTTCACTCGATTTCTCACTCAAGTTTCACAAGTTCACAAAAATACTATACAAATCGAGTATACTAGCATTTTGTAGTAATTATTATCTCGATTATTATACTATATGATTTTCATATGTAGGTATGTAGCTATATAAGAAAATTGCATTTTGCAACGCAAATATTCTGGTTCACCAATCAGAAAACGTAATATAAAAAGCAGAACGTAAAAATAAGTTTGGTTGTGAACAGCGCTTCTAATTTCAACTTTTTGAAAATAATTATACTGATGGAGATCATCAGGCATTATTCAAGCATTGAAAAATTCAGTGATTCCTTGTGATATTTAATAAAATAAAGTTCATATAAACATGTGTCCTAACTTGCTTCGTTTTTCGAGATACAGGGTATTGATATTTCCATGAAAAATCGTTTTTTTATTCATTACTCAATTGCCTCTTCATCAATTTCAATAAAAACGTTGTGGTTTTTGTCAATGGTAATATGGAGCTCCTTTTGGTGCAATTAGATATTTAAATAAATAAATAAGATTGACCTATTGGAATAACAACTTTGTTGTTCCTTGTGTGGTTTCTGTATCTGGCTTAGTTTTTGAGGAAACAATGAAAATTCGATTTGACTCCAAATTTTAATGTAGGAGTTTTCAAGACTTCCATTGAGATTACTCAATAACAGCAATTAGAATAATTCTAAAATTTTTGGGCTTTGTCAGTCTCCAACCATACTGAATTTTGGCACCATGAAAGCTTATACAGACGTATAAATAAAAATATTTAATGTTTCCGAATTCAACATCCTGTATCTCTAAAACGGAGCACGTTAGGACACATGCTCATATAAACTTTTTTAGCTATCATTTCGGTGTTATTCAGATACACCTTGTATATATATTCTACAAGTTGTTTAGGTTGAGGTAAGCTTGCCGGCCGGTATAGAAATCACAATACAAAATAATACAAATACAATACATAATAGGTAATATGATTATTATACATTATTGTTCATAACGTAATGTAATACCATGTAATACCTAGTAGTAAAATTGAGGTGGTTCAAATCAATTTTCGACACGTGAGTTTGACCTATCCTAACAAATCCTTGACCTTACTCCTGAATCTTTGCCCTTGATGGATAAAGCGACGTGGACAAGGGTTAATATAAGTACAGATAATAATATGTAATTGGAATTATAAAAAATAATAATATTATTACTATTGCCAACAAACTTACTTACCTAAAAATTTCAATCGTTAACTGCTGATACAAGTGATCAAAAATTATTATATAGCGGAAAAACTATAGATACAAATCAGATTACAGAGCTAGACAGTGTTGCCAGCTGCTCAACATAAAATGTCCCAAAAAGTTGGAAAAAAAAACACAAGAAAACACTAAAGCGAGCGAAACGAGCAGAATGCCCTCCGCAGGCGAAATTTTTGAAAATTTAGCGACTATTTTTCGTGATTTAGCGATTTTATTCATCATGTTTTCCCATTTTCCGTTAGTTTCATAACATCAGATAAAAAATCGTAGAAAACTTTATTTATTCAGAATCTGTTCAGAATAATGAAAAGAGAAGCACATTATAAAAATCAAAATGAATATAGGTGAATTTTCCTATACAATTTCATTTGGTACTATTAGGTATTTGAGTTATGTCTTTTATCTAATCACACATTGAAAAACCTGTCAAAACATGTATCATCTCATATTTATATAGTTCAACATCATACAGATCTGATACTTCATTGCTATGAGTCACATTGGTTCCTATAAGTTTCAATACTGATTTAGGCAAAATATAATCATCACAAGCATCACTAAATGGTATGACTATGTTGAAAACGCTAGAATTTCGAAACGTAGCAAATCAGGTTGAAATATCGCACATCTACCATAAAAACTCTAGATTTAGCGACAAAACCATTAAGATGGCAACCCTGGAGCTAGAGGATGGAAAGTAACGTATCGATACTTGTCGATACTGAGTAATTATCGATATATCGACTAACAACCATGACTTTCGTTACGGACACATTTAAGCGACGTTCACAACCAAACTTTTTACGTTTTGCTTTATTCGTTTCGCATTCTGATTGGTGAAGCAAAATCTGGAATGGACATGACGCAAAAAGCTGAATATTTTTAGCCTTTTGCGTTGCAACATGCCACTATGTGTGAAAATGGCACGATGTAGGAAAATGGTAAAAATAGACAAATACTCAATATTCAACCTATTTTCACACCACCCCTAAATGATAAGTCTCGCCCAATATTGGCCATTTTAGGATTGATTTTTCTCCAAGGAGCAATTTACGTCTCCGCCAGTATAATCATGCATGAATATTATTCGTTATTCAATTATTATTATTGTTGTGATTATTTCACTTCATTTCAGGATGAAGCATTAGTGACAAAAGCGGGGCAACTAAAAAAAGCCGTAAAAACTCACGATCACGTTTTTTGTTGAAAATGACATTTGCTTCAGTTTAATTCACGTTTAGTTTCAGATTCCGCTTCCGGTTACATAACCTCACATGAAAATTTATATCTTGACCAACAAAAATCATAGTCCATGCGAAAATGGAAAAACTTTGGTGAATATCTCTCTCATTTTTAACACAGTGATGATTATAGCGTTATCAAAATGATATTTCCTCGTCAAGAACTGATGATGAGTCATACAGAGTTAAGTTGATTTTGATATACCTCATATCAAAAATTATGTAGAGAAATTTGTCTTTGTATTTTGTATAACTATATCAGAACTTTTTTCCCCATGTTTACATAAGTTTCAAGAGACAGTAGTGACACTACTGACAGCAGCGCTAAGACCGCTTCACCTCACCACAATGAATATTTATCTCTGGCCAATCAAAATCTGAGGGCCACTGGCCAGTGCGAGTGCGGAACACTGAACTGGCATTGACTTGTGACAGTGACAAGCATATTATTCGATGTATGTTAACGGAACACAATTCTGTCAACGTGACAACACAAGACAAACACCTGTTGAATGCTTTGTACTGTGACCTTGAAGTTCTCAGACTGTGACTGTGTCCCTGTGTACTGGTCAGCTACTTGTACATTCTATTGACACTATACTCATATACTGGACAGTGGACATTTATGACAAATAATGAAATAAACAACTTCTACCACACCATTCACATTTACATCCACATTTACACAACAAAACCACACACCTGTCTTCTTCCAGTTTGCTTTGCAGGTGGTTTGCAGTACCCCAGGGCCCATCCCAAACAGAAGAACATCAACACCCATCTTTATTCGCATAGTTGATGTAGGTGAATGGTTTCATTTGATTGTATTTGATCCATCTGAACTGAGGTCTAATGAGATGGTCTGAATGAGTCATTGAATCAAATCAACAACAGAGTCCAAATTAATATTTTTTGCAAATAAAAGTTCAGCCTGATAAATCAATAATAAATAATCAGTATTCATGCTCTTAACAGTTGAATGAATACAAAAAATGAACTGTGCCATGAATATCTTGTGGACATCTACTCTCCTTTTGATTTTTGGTAAGTACCCACCTATTCACATTTCACAAGAAACTCATTTCAAATTTCAACGCATAATGATTCCAATACATCATCATCATAATTTTTATTGTTCCCAAGAAACAATTGACATATATGTTTATAACAAAAAACATAATGTATTACATTACATTCAAAATGTAGTAGGTATGTATAGGTTCAAGTCTTGTTGGATTTTCATTATAAAGTAATAATCCATTGTGATGTAAACTTTATTTTGAAGGATTCTAAATGGCTTTATAATACACTTTCAGCTACCCAAACATGCTTAAGTGCAGAGTGTACCATACCTATAATCATCAGAGGTGCTTGGTTCTCATGGGAAAATGGACGTAACACCCTGACAGAGTTGGATGCAACCTCCATGACTCAAAGAGGAGAGTGTGTTGATATCAAAGATGCCTTCCATGTCAACTATACAATGGTTTTCAGAAAGGGAGACTGTTTCACCTGTGTTAAAATCATCGTGAGAACTGTGAATGTCTTAGAGAAAATTGAAAGTAAGTACCCACAAAAGCATAAAATACAAGATACCTATTGCCTAACAATTGCCTACCTAACAATATTAGAGTTCCACAAGGATCAGTGTTGGGACCAGTACTTTTTATTATTTACATCAAGGAGCTGCCAGATCTTCTCAAGGAGATTTTTGTCACACTATTTGCAAATGACTCAACCTATCTATTCAATGATGAAACAGATGAAGGTCTCAAAGATAAAATTGACACAACTATTAATCATTTTTGTAACTGATTTAGTGGAAATTCTTTATATTTTAATGCTTCTAAAACAAGTTACATCAGGTTCCATACACAACAGAATACTAAACAAACTAATATAAAAATTTCAATTCGAGAAGAGGAAATAAAAGGAAAAGACAAAATTATATTCCTGGGTATCAACTGTGATAGTACCCTAGAATTTAAATCTCACTGTACTGACCTGGCAAGCTCATTGAATAAAAAATGCTATCAAATTAGAACTTTGAAAACAATGTTGAACACAGTGAACCTTTCATCATTTTATTTTGGAGAAGTGGAGTCTAGACTAATTTATGGTATAACAATATGGGGTGGCACTTCATATTCACAAAATGTATTCAAAGTGCAAAAACGAATAATCAGATGCATTGATGGAGCTTCACCTACAGTCATGTAGACCCCTTTTTAAAAAATATAAGATTCTACCTCTTGCAGGTCTATATATTCTTGAAATACTAGCTCATGTGCAGAAGCATGAAATTGAACTCACTGAAAATAAAGATGTTCATGATTACCACACTTGTAATAAAAGTAAATTTCATATCCCATTCGCTCGTCTGAAAATAAAAAAACTGTTCCAGAGACAACTTAAAATGTTTATATTAGAAAAGTGTCCATATTCTGTAGACGAATTTATGTTATCTGTTAAGTGATGTTATGTTTGTTCCTATTGTAAAATGTTGACTTGTCCTACATCATGTACTCTGTGATCGAATGAATTAATAAATATGACTATGACTATGGTATAATTTCTGTTTAGGTTCTTGTATCAGCATTCCAGAACATGAAGCCACTGTTGAGAATGTCTGCAGAAGTTTGGATCCTCATCAACAACTTATCACCCTGTTTTCTGAGAACTATGTTCCAGTCAATTGTAGATCGTCACTGGAAGGGGTGTGGAATTTTGCCTATCAAAATCGTTTCAAATTCACAGGGGAATGTAGGAATCCTGATGCACAGATACGTTCCTGTCAAACTGCTGGGTCTCAGTTTCTGATTACAAATCAAAAGTTCAACATCACCTATAAGAAATGTGAAGGGATGACCGGCACCTTTGATGGGGGTGAGTGAGTACTCTTAAATACCATGAATGGGGTTGTACACCCTGGTGGAATTTACAGGACATACTGATTTGATATTGATCATTCTGTGTATAAATAGTATTTGATGCAATCATTCAATTTAAAATCATCACAAATAATTTTTTTCAATAGTGCATTTGAGATTTAAAATCATTGCAAATAATTTTTTTTCCATAAGGTAAAAGATGCTGCCAAATTTGTAACTAGTAATCACCTTATGAGTTATTGAAAACTTATATACTTGCTAGATGCTCCAGTGCCAATAAAATATCCTAGTATTCCTAATAATGATCCAGATCTTATTTTAACCCAAATTATTTTGTGGCACTGGCAACAGCGTAATGCCTAGAGCTCCCAGAAATCAAGATGAGAAGAAAAAAACGAACTATATTGTCAAGCTAACTCCCTAACGTCATCTTCAAATCCTTGTTTCATCCAGCCAAGATGTGAATATTCAAAGATTCCTCTTATTATCTGATTCTTCAGTTGTGTGTTGTGATCTCTGTTATCTGCAGTGAGTATTCAGTCCAGAAAATTCACTAGAGTCTAGGGCGTGCACCTTCTGAGGAGGCTACTTTTTATCATATTTTAATTGAAATGACTATCAGAAATATTCTTGCACTTGTCTTACAGACAAGGAGAATTTTTTCGTATAATTACGTCACGCGTTTTTCATGTCACGAAATATCGTTAATTTTTTCATATGATTGGTTATCTTTGTGGGGTAGTCTTTGAATCTGCCAGCGGCATTTAAAAAATCGACTTGAATATTTCATTCGAGGACAGAAAAGAAAACATTTTTCTCAGGTTATTGATAAGAAGTAATACATGTCATAAAATTATTTCTGTTGAAAAGATCATCCATCTGGATGAAATTTATAAAAGAGAAAATCACATGTGACATAGTATTATTGTAATTAATTCTTTTTATAGGAATAAAAAAACATTAATAACTTTTGAACCATCAACAATTGGACTACATACACGGTTAGTTTGATTTGAAATGACCCTCCCTACCACTCCACTTCTTTTGATCCTCGACTTATACACCCATACAACCTAACAAATCTGAAACAATAATTATTGTACTTGCAATTGTTTTTCAACAACAAAAATTCCTTTTCAAGTATTCAAATTGTGAATAAATATATCATTTTCAAGGTGTACTAAGCAAATATTTCTCTATATCAGTTACTAATCTATCTACTTCCGTTAAATTAATCATTTCATTGTGGAATATCCTTATTGTTTGGCCAAAAGATTCCAATCTGATAATTTCAATTCCTTCCTGACAAAATGAATAAAACCAGTGTGAAGCCCGCAAGACGGGAGATCAGGTAAAGCATGCCGTGGAGTAAGAATTTTCATATCATTAAAAAAATATATTTGGCTACGTGTCTTCATTAATAAGGACGCCTAGCAGTAGTAGATGAACAGGAGTTATTAATCACCTGTTAATTTTACAAGATTTTCACTCCAAAAATCGAAAAAATCGGAAATCTAATTTTCATTGGGTAAAAATATCTTACTATCTGGTATGTTTTAGTCGTTGAATACAGTTGCCTGGGTGATTGGTTTGTTGACAAGAACCACTATTTCGCGGTTGCCAATACCAAGGAATCCAGGAAAGATGAAAAGTATCGCTGTTTCTTGAAGAACAGAGACGACGATTTGTACATTGGTGTCTCGATTACTGCCGAATGCAATACTTTGAAAACCGTTGAAAAAAGTCCAGAGAGGTTGCATATCACACCAGGTAAGATATTCATCAACTCCAAGATTTTAACAATTAAAGGACAATCCATGAATATTATTTAGTTTGAGTGTTGTACTCACTCAAAAGTGTATCTGAAATTTCCCATAGCATTCATTATTTCAGCAGAAATGGACATTGTTTCATTTGGTTCAATGTATTCACTGCCAATAATAATTTTTCAAAAAATAAAATCGGCTCCTTCAAAAAACTCGATGACGGGATACACTGATTTACACCAATAGAGATATTTTTTTTTTTTTTTTTTTTTTTTTTTTTTTTTTATCGCTTGGAGCGCACGAAAGGGAATCCCTATAATGTTCGGAGAACATCGTGCGTTCCTTGGGAGGATAGGGACAGGAGGTAGGTATTGGAATTTTTTTTGAACTTTTGGAGATTATATGTTGTTGGGAATACTTCCACAGGCAATGAATTCCAGAGCCTAGCCGTTCTATGGATGAAGGAGTCTTGATAAAGTGCTGTTCGACATCTTTCGAGGTTGACAACGAAAGGATGTGCTGACTGGGCTTGTCTAGTTCGTCTGATTGGTATTGCTAGTGAAGGGATGATAGCAGAGATTTCCGAAGAACATTTCCCGTGGAAGTATCGATAGAAAAGTGAAAGGTCTCCGACCTTTCTACGATGTTCCAATGATGTCAAAGAGTGAGTGAGTGTGGCGTCACCCACCAGGCGAATGGCTCTTCTCTGGATGGAATCTAAGAGCATCAGTGTATGTTTTGGTGCTGAACCCCATATGTGGGAACAGTATTCTAGAACAGGCCGTATCTGCGCTTTGTAGATCATGAGAAGCTGTTGAGGTGTAAAGTAGCTTTTCGCACGGAACAAGAATCCGAGTTTTTGTGAAGCAGCTTTTGCGATGGATCTGACATGATTATCCCATGAAAGAGTGTTGCTGATGGAAATACCGAGCATAGATATGGTGGGCTTGGTGGGGATGGTGGAGCCAGACATTACAATATCGGGCATACTGAGTTCCGCCTTTCTAGAGAAAATGCAGGCTTGAGTTTTGGTGGCGTTGAATTCAACTAGGTTGTTTGTTCCCCAGGCTGTGATTTCAGCAAGATCTTCATTGACAGCATTGACCTGCCTGCGCCGTGAGTTCTTAGTTTCCTGGGAAGAAATGGGAATTCTAGAAGAGAACGCAGTATGGAGGGTACTATCATCTGCAAAGCTGTGGATGGGGCAAGTTGTTACTCCCAACAGATCATTGATATGAAGCAGGAATAATGTTGGTGCCAAAATTGATCCTTGTGGAACGCCGGAATTGATGTCAAAGGTATCAGACGATACACCGTCCACCACCACGTGAAGCGATCTGCCTGAAAGAAAACTCGATAAGAGATGGCATAGCTGAGGTGGTAAGCCGTATGATGGTAGTTTGTGGAGGAGTCCTTCGTGCCAAACACGGTCGAATGCTTTCGAAATGTCCAACGCGACAGCTAGAGATTCCCCGTGTTTCTCTATTGAAGATTGCCATAAATGGGTGACGTAGGCAAGTAGATCTCCAGTAGATCTTCGGTGGCGAAAGCCGTATTGTCTATCATTGATGATTCCTGAGCTCTCCAGATATTTGATAATCTCAATATTGATGGCTTTCTCCATCACTTTGGAGATTACTGATAACAGGGCAATGGGCCTGTAGTTGTTGGGCAGGTTCTTGTTCCCTTTTTTGGGGATTGGTTGGACTCTAGCTGTCTTCCAGCATGATGGAAAAATACCCGACCTGTACGAGATGGTAAACAACTTGCAGAGAATCGGTGTTAATTCTGGTGCACATTTTTTGAGGATAATGGGTGGAATTCCATCAGGACCGTTAGCCTTATTTGTTTTGAGACCAAGCAAAATTCGTCTGGTAGTGCGTTGACGGAAGACGATTTCGGGCATTCGACTCTCAACGGGTGGAATGTCTGGCGGCAGTTTTCCTTGGGAATCTAAAGTAGAGTTTGCTGCGAACATCTCTGCAAAAATATTTGCTTTCTCCTGCGATGTTGTTGCTAATGTGCCGTCGGATTTGGACAGTGGTGGAAATGAACTATTAGTGAAATTTCTTCCGACCGCTTTAGCAAGGGACCAAAACGAACGGGAGCCATTGGGGCAATTTGTTGATACATCCCTTAATACTCAATGCCTAACCACACAGTTCACAGAAATACCAAGAAAAGAAGAACTCAAACCTAACCTAACCTTCTATACTCAACCTCGTGTGTCGTCTTCGCCTTCAAAACCTCTCGTCTAGTCAAGTCTAGCAAATACTTGGAAATATTCAAAGATATTCCTCAGATTATCTGATTCTTCAGTTGTGTGTTGTTTATGTGTTATCTGCTGTATGTATTCAGTATGATTTTATGGTTCATCTGGTAATCTACCCAACTGAATGTAATTGCTAAAAAATTCATTTCATATTTTAATATAAGTGACAATCAGAAATATTGTAGATATTGTGCCAAATTTGCGACAATGAAGGTTTATCGAACCTGTCCACAGGTAACTAATCCTTCAGGTTGGGAAAGTAGGATATATAAAAGTTGAGCAATCCAAGGTTAGTTTAGTTCATTGTACCAGTATATCACCTGATGAAGCTACTGTGTTAGTTTTTGAATTCAACTTATTTTTGTCGTAGTGACATACAATTTTAACTTTTGGTGAAGTACATTCGTATGTAGTAATTTTCAAATACTGAATCCCCAGTGGCGTAACTTCATATTTTGGGCCGCCCCGCCAAAATCATTTAGGGCCTCCTCGAGACAAACCTTTCCAGTCAGAAGGCCCTTCTTTCCATGAACTATTAGTTATATTGAATAACCAACAAGCATTACAATACGCTTTATTTTCTTTGGGTGAATAACACAACCATTTTCTTGGAATAATTTGCCCAGCATGACTTTTCTGTGAATGATAAAAATTAGAGAAACTCCTCTTTTGGAAAATTTATATCTGGTTGAGACGGGCCATTACGAACAATAAACATTTTTATCGTGTTGCTCAATTCTCGCCCACTGAAATTGCCTTTATCACAAGGATAAGATCATTTAATTAATACATCCAGTAATGAATCATCTGACTCAGTTCCATCTCCAGCAGTTCTCGCATTCAAGTCAGGTATGGGCTCCTCGTGGATTTCAGCTATAATACTTTTTATATTCACACCACCTGTACCTACAGTTTTGAATGCAGTAGTAGCAGAAGTCTCGTCATTTGCTAAGTAAAAATTTGATATTTTTTCTATATACATACCTTCATTTCTCTTCTCCAAACTTTTTTCAATGCAAATTGTCACTGACAAGCTAGTGAATTTTTCTTTTAGGCTCTCTGATAGGAAAAATCTTCAAAAGCAGTGACATTTTGGGGCGAATTATCTGATTTGTCGTTACTACACGTATATTGAAATAATATTCATATTTTTATTTTATAGAAACGAGGAGAGAAAATCCCAAAAAATCTGGAATAATAGTTTTTCTTCCATAATAATTGCAAAGTCAACATCCATTCCTGTTTCAATCATCATACTGCTACTACTTGATGGACATTCATCATAATATTCAACTGTATTATCCGAAACAGTAGTAGTAGTATTCGTAGAGAACGTGGTAATCTTGGAAATTTTACACTTCTCATCTCCTAACTTTAGTTTCCTTCTTCTTTTTGAAGCATCACTAATTCTAATCAAGTTCTCCATTTAAAATAATTGGCTTGTATCGTTGATTTCACACATCACCCTGGACCTACACTGAGAAAAACATGCCTGCACTATTCGCAGAAATGGAAAAATTATTTCTGTTGCATATTCATAATTTGAGAATATTCATGTATCAACCAGTATCAACCTGGGCTGAGTCCTTGCTCTGGTTGGTGAACCCAGGACCCCAGGGCCCTCCGAGGAACGAGCCCCCCGCAACCGCGGGGTTTCGCGGTATAGTGGTTACGCCACTGTATAATCCCATTGATTCAGTTCTATGGGAATGTAATGATCTTTGATGTTCATTTGAGGGCTTCAACGCGAGCGAAGCCGCGGTTAGAAGCTAGTTTGTTTATAAAATGCTGAATATCATTTCGTGAGGCACTAAGATCAATTTGAACTTCAGTGAAGTCCGAGGTTGTGGAAGCTGGTTGTCGCCTACCTCAAAACTTCTCCGGAGATTGGATCAACACCGCCAATATCGACGCTGACATTTTCATAAACGAGACGCACATCATTGAGACTTGGTATCCGGATGAGGGTCGTTACAGGAGGACCATTTACGTGTGCCGCGAGCAAAGAGACTCTCGAGTGATGATGGCCAGATTGACTGTAGATGGATGGTGAGTTTTCGAAAAATATTTATAATGTTCATCAAAAGATCCATTCACAAAATGGTCGCGAACACTTTTGGATTCCTACTTGTTTTCCCAAAAAAGAAATGCTCCTGTTTGAAGGTCAGTGGTTTAAACACAACTAAAAACCGCCAGCGGTACTGACGTCACAACTGCTACTAACTAAGGAACTCTAGTTCGTAGTAGTAAATGTACTCGACACTCGACAAGCAGTGACAGTGATACATAACCAAAAACAATTTTGAAGTAATTCATATGTTTTGTCAGACAGGACAAGAATATGTTTTTCAACCTATTTTGACTCCTCATATCATTTTCCGGAAATTGGGGTGGTTCCATGGCTGTTGGCGAGCAGTGTATATCACTGATACGATTACGTAAGATTTTTTTTTTTTTTTCATCATTCATCAAACTTTATTAGCACAGTACTCTTCATTACACTACAATATACATAAAGTACAAAAAAAAATCAAGAAATACAAATTTTACAATCCAAAATAAATACAAGTTACAATATAACAGTAGCTCAGTGTTTGATAGTATTATAATACAATTTTCACAGTTTGAAATAGTACATACATCTATAATAGGGATGATGAAAAACTCCTAATCAGCAAAGAGAATGCTGGTATCGGAGTACAGTTTTCTTTAAATGCGGTATTGTGGTAAGTAAATTCTGTTAGTTAAATTCATTGGTTATCTAGGATATATCTTTCAAGTTAAGATACAGGGGTGTTTCCATTAGAAGTGGGTCACACTGTATATCCGAATATTTCGCCACTGTCGAAAGATAATATCCGATGGACCAGTGTGAAATTCATGTGGTTCTCGCATACTACAAGTATTCAAATCCACATGTTGGGTTTTACACTGGTCCAGCGGATATCATCTCTTGAGAGGAGCGAAATATTCTCGAAAATTTTGACGCTATACCACTAACTTAAATCAGTTTGATTCGCGGCACGTTTGGATATTCGCAAAAGGGACATCATCCCCTTTTATTTGCTTTTTGTTTCAAGTCGTTATCACATGGCGGAAGTATGTCCGGAATAATGTCAGTAAATTAAACGGTGATGCGCCGTGAATTTGACTCAGATTGATGTGGCAATGGTAGGTTTTTGAGATTTACCATTCAATTTCAATTAGTATCGGATGGCATATCTCGTTATCATATCACGAAATTGAGTGCGAATTACCGCACAGGAAAGTGCAATTATTAATTCATTTTGCTCAGGATAGTGATTGGCACAGGTGCCGTTCGATGAAATACAATGTTTTTACATGCCTTTGGGACATATATCATTTCGTTATCAGATGACGGTAGAAATTTGCAACCGGCTCTTGGAATATTATGACGTCAGTACTGACAAGACAAAGGAGCTACCAAACGCATCATCAAGCACTATGTTTGAACGTTCTATAATTAGTGATTTCAAGTGATGTTTTTTGAGAATTCACAACATATTCATGGTGGAAATATAATATGGTGTGCTACTCAGGTATTTTGAATTCGTATTTTCTGCGCATAACGTCATTGCGAGTCTATACTCACACCAAAATGAGCACGACTCGGGCGAACTGATAACTGTGAGCTATGGGGAAGTTTCCTTCGGATGAATTTTCATAAAATAAGTTCGGAACTCTCCAGTTTCATGTCCACGCTGTACAGAATGGCGACCGATAGAGTCCAAGTCGTTTTCATTTTCAAAATAAAGCAATTTATAATTTTCGGGGTGGCGAACTGTGACGTACATTCGGAATCTAGCCTGAAAATAGCTGATGGTGAAAAATATAGCTAGCGAATAGCTAACGAATGAAAAACGAATGAAAAAAAAATAGAAAGAAGTAAAACCGGTAAACAAAAACATACATAAACACAAATGCACTCGGAGCAGGAATGCAGAAGGTAGTTGGCTTCATTCTGACAGGTTATGGTTTTGTTATTTATGCATTGAAATATCGCGAATAAAGCTCGATCTTAAAAGAAAATATCATTGAATCAATGAATCACTATCGGCTACATTCAATGATACTATCCTTCCTAACTTTCTGCCATCGGTCAGAACAGAATGAAGCCGGCACCCATGGCTCCTTTCTCTTGTTGTGCCTATCAGTAGTTTGAGTGGTGTGGACGGATTCGAAGTATTAGGCGCTGTTGCAACATATAGTCTGCAACTTTCCTAGAAAATAGATCCGTTTTATCAAGGAACGAATTCATTAGCAAAACAATGACTGACAAGTTATTAATAACATATTGTAATATAACGATAGTGAGAAATTATAGATACTATTGCAAAATATCATAATTTATCTTTATTAGTAATCAACTTCATTCAGCCAATGAGGGATTCATGGGAATTATTCATAATACTTGACAAAGTAGGAATGAAGAACCTATTATTTTTTTTATTTTTTTTTATTTATTCACGGGATAAACCCCATTACAGTATAACTTCAACAAATATAAATAACACAGTCAAGTGAACCAGACACATAAGTACATAAAACGTATATCCAACAATGGCTTTAACTAGTTAACACATGAACACATGAAATAGATGAGACTAGAAACTCTATGAAACTAACACTATAAATTCGATAACTAATCAAATGCCACTCTCTTCTACTTACAAGCTACTCAATGATTTTTTAAACATATCGTACGACAATCCAAATATATTGATGTTCTTTTCGTTCAATAACTTCAGAGTTCTTTCCAAGGGTGCATGCTTGCCATAATTTGTAAAATGGAATGGTAAGTGAAATAACAGTTTATGTCTAAGATTTCTGTTTGGAACGTTGAAGTTAATTGTTTCGAGTAATTCCGGACATGATATAAGTCCATTGAGAAGCTTAAATACAAAACAAAGGTCTGAATGAGTTCTTCTTTTTTCCAACGATTTAAGGTTAACTTCACGTAAAATATCTGAGTAATCGTGGTTTTGTATCTGAATACCTAATCTATAAGCACAAAATCTCAAAAATTTATTTTGTACTCTCTCTAAGGAAGTAGAGTGAATCTGATACATGGGAGACCAGATAATAGATGCATACTCCAACTGAGAAATCACAAGTGATAAGAAAACCCTTTTTAATGCTTCTAATGATAAACCTGACCAATTGCGCGTAATTAGACCTAGAACTTTAGAAGACTTCACACTGACTTTGTTTATGTGTTCAACAAATCTAAGCTGCTCATCAAAAACTACTCCTAAATCCTTTATAGAGGATGTGTATTCTACTTGCTGATTATTAATGTTGTAAGAAGTATCAAATTTTCTTCCGACTTTCGAGAACGAGATAAAGTAGCATTTATTGACATTCAGATACAAATTGTTAACAACACACCATTCATACATTCTATTGAGATCTGCTTGAAGGAGAATTTGGTCACTCATAGACTTTATAGGCCTAAACAACTTCAGGTCATCAGCAAACATAAGGAAATCACAGTTTATGAAACAGCTTCCAATGTCATTCACAAAGATATTGAATAGGAGTGGTGAACAGTGCGATCCTTGAGGGACCCCAGATGTCACTAAAATATTTCTTGATTTGTATTCCCCGATTTTGACTTGTTGTGTACGACCCGTCAGAAAACTTCTAAACCAATTCACTAGATGTTCCGAAAAACCAAAATTACCAATCTTAATCAATAAAGTATGATGATCTACTCTATCAAATGCCTTAGAGAAGTCAGTGTATATGGCATCCATTTGACATCTACCTTCCAAAACTTTTAATATTTTCTGCTCATATACCAGAAGATTGGAAATAGTTGACTTGTTTCTAGAAAAGCCATGCTGATTATTTATCAAGCTTTCTCTGCAAAAAAAGTTGAGCTGGTCTGAAATCAAACTGTCTAGTAATTTTGGAATAGATGACTGGTTACACACACTTCGATAATTCTGAATATTATCATTATCTCCTGACTTATGAATTGGAACAATAAAACTGTGTTTCCAAACATCCGGAAAAGTTGCATGAGCTAATGAACACTTGAAGATTAGGTATAGTGGATACGTTAATGAGTAAATACATTTTTTCAGAAACATATTTGGAATTCCATCAGGGCCTGCACTGAGTTTAGATGGAATTTTCGTAATTTTATCAAATACTAAATCAACCGATAAGCTTGGATTCGAAATATAATTATTATTCACACAATTAAGGTCATCAGGTTGAACTGAAGATCTATCGTAAACTGAAGAGAAAAAATTTGCAAAACATTCTGCTATTTGTTCATTGCTTCCTGCTATAGAGTTTTCATAGTACATGGTAGACGGTAGACTATTCGATGACTTCTTATGTTTTATAAATTGCCAGAAATATTTGGGATCAGAATTCAGTTTGGCATTCACATCTCTTATATAACTGTCATAACACATTCTTGATAGATTCCTACAAGAAGATCTTAACCTTGAAAAGGCTTGATAGTCCTGATTGCTTTTACTGAACAAGTATTGTTTGTGAGCAATTTTTTCTGTTTGACCATGTACCTCAACTCCGCATTAAACCATTTAGGAAATGTAGATGTTTTGAATCTTTTGAGAGGCACAAACAATGCGATTGCCAATTGTAAAATATGGTAGAACTCTTCAGTTGCTGCATTTACATCTAACAAATTAAGATTTTCGTTCCAGTTTATGGCAGCTAAGTAGTTGTTCAGACCGTCGTAGTCAGCATTTTTGAAGTCATAGTAAAATTCTGTGTATTCTAAGGTTTTGGAGACAGTTTCATAATTTGTTATACTAAAGGTGTAGCTCAAGTGATGCATACTATTTGAAAAAAGAGGGTCTGTTGCTGTGCTTATAACTAAGTTATTTACATTCGAGAATACCAAGTCCAAAAACACGTTTCTTGAATTGGGAATTTCATTTCTTTGATAACAATTCAAGAATGCATAACATTGTGCTAGAGGCAATGCATGAGATCCTTGAGGACAATTAACCAGAACTCCAGTATCTTCATTCGTCCACTGGGCTTCAGGTATATTGAAATCGCCAAAAATAAAAGACTTACAATGCTTGTATTCCATAATGATTTCTTCGACAGCCTGGCAGTGTTGTAGATAAATGGTCTCTGCTGCTTGAGGTGGAATATAGACGCCTCCAATCAAGAACTTATCTTCACCATTACAGCACACTAAAAACAGCTGCTCGATTGACCTGATTGTCGACTTCACCTTCCTTGCCTTTATTGTGTCTTTAATGAGAATCAGTACTCCACCTCCCCTAGATTTAGTGCTTGTTTCACAGCTACGATCACACCTGAAGACATTGTATGAGGAAACTTTGATTTCAGAATCGAGAATATCCTTTGAGAGCCAACTTTCAATTAGAATAATGATGTCATATCTTGAACATAACACTGATTCAGTTAATTCTTGTAGTTTTGTACGAATGCCACCAATATTTTGACAGTAAACTTGTAATGGGGTGCCCTCTAGTTTTTTTCTTTCTCGATAATTGTAGGAGTGCCTCTTCGATACTTGATCGTTAAGTTCTCTTCACCATTTGCTTGTCTTCGTGATAACTCATCTTTTACTTTCTTGAACATGTCCTGCTGCATTCTTGTTTGATCATCACTGATTCTAATCGGCGTGCTCAGTAATTTCATCTTGGATTTTAATAGTTGTTTGACGATTTGGTTATTTGAAAATACTACTTTGACAGGTCTATGTTTTGGGCCACCTGCACGACCTACTCTAAGTATTTTCATAATGCTATTATTCGTGGCTTCACTCATATCCATCTTCTGCATTATTTTACTGACCTCCTTTTTATCTGCTTCTATTCTTTCACTGATCTCTTCAGATGAAGACTCTTTAACATTGTATATCATGATATTATTAGACCTTATTTGACGCTCATTGAGTTCTTCAAACATTGTTTCGAATGAGATATTTGATGTCCCACGCATCTTCAATGATTCAATCTCTGACTTAAGACCACTTATATGATTGTCTTTATCCGCTATCAAGGATGCATACGCATTCTTGAGATCCTTAATTTCGGACTGTAGTTCTTTCATCATTGTTTTCAATACTGGTATTTGTAATAAACCATTCTCACAATCATCGCAAAAAAATTTCAACTTCCTTCCTCCAGCGAGTTGCAGGCATCTCACCTCTGTTGAAGTAACATTTGCACATGCCACATGAAGGAGTCTTTTGCAACCATCACACCTGAATGAATCTTTATCATCAACTGCATCCCTTCGACACCGTAAGCACTTGCTCATTGTACCGAGAACAATTTATAGGTCCCCCGTATGTAAATATAAATCCACGAGCAAGAAGTTCGACGTTTTTTGTTCCCGAGACCACATACACTAGAATGCTTTTTTGTCTGATGTCTCAGACATTAATCGAAATTCCGAATTGATGTTCTCATTAATAACTTCAAAGTATTGAGAATACTTGAAACTATTTTACAATGAGAGGAATCCTCGTTTCTTGGGCTTCAAGTACATATGACTTTGCAGAATTTAAGTACAAGTTAATTCCACAAAATTTCAACTTAAGTAGCACTAGCTTGCGAACACACGTATTCACTTCGAGTCACGGGTTATTATATCCCATTGCTGTTATGATATAGTTATTATGCATTCAAAGAACAATTTCCGGAAATCTAGACATATTGATAATGTCGACAACGCCGTACTGGCACAGGGAATCGTATTTTAACTTTTTGTGAATGTGGATTTTCAGAAAGTAAGTCATTGAAATGGTGGAGGAGACAAGTTCCTCTCTCATTTATTTTTTCTGAAGTGAAATCTGATCTTACGAAAAAAAAGAATGAATCACAGTGAGATAAAAACCTCAATATAGGAAACTTCCCCATTGTTTTACTCGCAGTGACGTATACGAAGATGCGTCATAGCACACTATACTATAATAATTCCACCATGAACTATCAGATTATGTGCACATTTAAATTGAATTAATCCTTGTGTTCTTGCCCATTGTGTTAACTAAGAAACAAAGAATATTCAGAAACAATTTTTTCATTTCAGCCAAAAAGATTACATTTGTTTCGATTTCGTTCCCCAGCATCACAATATAATTCGATACAGAAGGGGTATTGCAGTTATAAAAGATGACTTCAGTACAGTGTGTTCTTGGGTGCAATTCCAAAATAAGGCAAAATGGAAGTACGACTTATATTTGAGAAAGAATCCAGTACCGATCAAGTGTCCCGTTGCTGGAAAATTCAATTTCACTCAGAAAGGAGATGTGCCATTTGAAACCAGGTATGAAAAATTCGTTTCATTTGATTACTCAAGCAATCATGAAATGTTTGGTAGGTATATCTCACATTGTAACAATCATATTTGTTCATTTTTGAAGTACAAAAGTAGTTACCTTTTATATAATTGTATTATTTGTATTAACCACCATTTTCTTTGTGTGAAACTGTTTGATGTTTAGATATTATCTAATCTAATATAATCAATCAAGAGAGTGTAGAATATCAAATGTATCAAAATGAGATATGCTATAGGTAACTGGTATGTGAAGAAGATAGTTTTCATATATTTGTCATTTTTTGGTCACTTCCGGTTTCGCCGGAAATGGTTCCGGTTTTAAATTATTTTTGAATTCAACACCCTATATATTATAACATTTTCAGATTTCTGAAACAATTCATGATCAGAATTCGAGATTTTCGAAAGCTTTACCGCCTACTTCATTTTGTTCAGAGTCACTTTTACTTTTTGCTCATAAAGCTCATATCACTTGCATTACTTGAGTGAGTGTTTTGTTTTCCAAGAAGACTTGATGATAATGGCTGCAGATTAAATTGTCAAAAGTAAATGAATTAGAATATACGCACGGCACTGTCTGAAAAACTGATAATATTGATGGTTATTCATACATGTCCAAATTTCGTAAAGATCGCACAACTAATAGCTGAGAAATATAAGGGGGGGGGGGTGTTTTGAAATGAAACACGCTGTATTATATAATAAAATTATTATTCAGTATTTGCCTTAGTAATATTCAATGTATGTACTTATTATTAATGCAATCAGAAAATAAATTAGTATCGTTGAATTCGTCAAAAAATCCGTTTTTCGGAAAGTGATTGTCAAAAAATGATCACCATTTGAAAAATAATATAGTTATACACGAAAATATAAGTTTGCCAACTCGTTTATTCCTATCTATCATATTAGTCACTAAAGCTTGGTGATTATAATTTCATGAAATCACCTGAGGCCCTTAGCTTAGTTTACTTACTTACCTAGATGCAATATTAAAAGTGACTAAAAAAGTTAAGTAGGCGTAAAAACTCTCGAAACTATCAAATTCTTATCCAGAATTGTCTTAGGAACGAAAAAATATACTGATATCCAGGATATACAGGGTGTTCCATTTAAAAAATCAAAGCCAGAGTCATTTTCGGTGTAACCAAGTGACCGGTAAGTGAAAAATATGCGAAAAATCTCTTCTTGACATACCATTTACGTGCACCAAATCTCATTTCATCTATTTTTTTTTCTCAATCTCTTGGAGCGCAAGAAAGAAATTTCCTTTAATGTTCGAAGAACATCGTGCGTACCTAGGGAGGATAAATATATTTGTTTAGCTATTTCCACTAAGAACGTTATCAGAGTAGTGCTTTGGCATTGGATAATGTTCTTTATACAGGGCGCCTCATTACTGATTGAACATATTTTAACCATAGAATCCTGAGTTCAAACTGTGAAGATTTAAACCAAATCACATAAATAAACTGTGTTTCCTTTCTGAGACAGTTATTTTAGAATTCGAAAATTATTTGTGCCCACAGTACTTTAAAACTATTTATTGAATCATGTTGAATAAACGTTTCTTGCTACAACCAAAGATGGACGACCAGCACGATTCTCCGATACTTTCTACGTAAATATATAATATTTTTCGAGATATTTTAAGTTGAACATCAAGCTGCACAATTATTTTGATTTTAATGTGTATCAATTAACTGAGTGGTTTGGATCATTGGATTACATTTATCAGGTAAATAAAACTTTTTATCCGAGCTTTTATCCGTATAAACAAAAATATATAATAACGATTATTTTTAAATTTTTGAATGCAACACTCTGAAGTCAGACAGAGGAGATACAATTTATCTAGGTGATTTGGGTTCAATCTTAATATCAGGATACTGTAGTTGAAATTTTTCTTATTAGTAATGAAACACTCTCTATAAATTATTGTGAGAGATATTTATATAAAACTGTCACCTGTTTTTTTTTAGTAGATAGGTGAAGAATTATTTTTCACACTACATGTAGAGTGGCCTTCTTTTAAATCATCTACATTAATTCTTCTTTCAATGAGTCTGTTTTCTGAGTTATAGTTTGTAACAACGTTTGCGTAAATTCATGAGATTTTCATGTCAGAATAAACGTCTCCCAAGTTGATACAAGAGCCGTACGTAACGGTAGGGTTCTAGAGTTGATGATGGAAAAAATCGCAACCAAATCAACATTCTAAATCTGTATTCAAAAGAGTCCCGAATAAATTTTCAGTACACGTAGTATTCACCTTCAAAGATAAACCTCTGAAACATTCGTTAGCCTTCCGCACTTCAACTTTTGCATCATATTAGTGTACACATCGATTCCGCCTCGAATTCAGCGCACACACTATGAAGCTACCTCCTTAAGAGCGACCTGTAGGACTTGTGCTTCTTCTTAATCACCCCACGATGAACCAAATTCGACGTTCAAACTAAAAAGGGAGACATCGCACGAATTGAGAATGACGTTTTTGTCCAAGAAACATGTCGGGTCCATCGTCTGGATACAAGCCTTGTGCGGTCTTAAATCTACTTCTAATAGTTTAAAAGCTTCTAGGTTGCATAGAGGAACTTCGAACTGGTTCGTTACCGGGTTAATATAATCCATGATACTTTAGCGTAGCAGTATTTCCAAGTCGCTCGCTTGAGCAACACTGCCTGATCTTCTAGGCATGAATGCTTAAATTTATTGTGTGAATTCAGATAGCTTCTTCATCTTCACGGATGTGTAGTTGATGAGGTTGAGTAGCGCTTTGGTGCAGTTGGAATCAGCGTGTACTTCCTGATGAGGCATCATGTTTTTATGTTAGAATCAGCGTCTACGAAGTTAATACAAGAGCCGTATATAACAGTAGGGTTCTAGAGTTGATGATGGAAAGAATTGCAACCGAATCAACCTTCTAAATCTGTATTCGAAAGAGTCCCGAATAAAGTTTCAAAACACGCAGTATCCACCTTCAAAGGTACACCTCTGAAACTTTCGGTAGCCCTCGTTGCTTCAGTCAACTTTTGCATCATATTAGTGTACATCGATTCCGCCTCGAATTCAGCGTACACACTATGAAGGTACCTCCTCAAGAGCGACTTGTAGGACTCTTGCTTCTTCTCTATTACCTCACGATGAACCAAATTCGCTCTGTCCGAATTACGAAGGGCGACAGCACACGAAATGAGAATGACGTTCTTGTCCAAGAAACATGTCGGGTCGATCGCCTGGATAAAAGCCTCGTGCGGTCTAGGATCTACTCCTAATAGTTTCAAAGCTTGTAGGTTGCATGGAGGAAGTTCGAGCTGCTTTGTAACCGGGTTTATGGAATCCATGATGCTTTTGAGTAACAGTACATCCAAGCCAGCTCGCCTCATTAACGCAGTCTGATCTTCTAGACACAAGGTCCTGAATGCTTGAATTCGTTGTGTGAATGTAGATAGCTTCTTGATCTTCACGGATGTGTAGTTGATGAAGTCGATTATCGCTTTGGAGCAGTTGGAATCAGCGTGTTCTTCCTTATGAGGCATCATGTTTTTATGTTAGAATCAGCGTCTACGAAGTTAATACAAGAGCCGTACGTAACGGTAGGGTTCTAGAGTTGATGATGGAAAGAATTGCAACCGAATCAACCTTCTAAATCTGTATTCGAAAGAGTCCCGAATAAATTTTCAAAACACGCAGTATCCACCTTCAAAGGTACACCTCTGAAACTTTCGGTAGCCCTCGTTGCTTCAGTCAACTTTTGCATCATATTAGTGTACATCGATTCCGCCTCAAATTCAGCGTACACACTATGAAGGTACCTCCTCAAGAGCGACTTGTAGGACTCTTGCTTCTTTTCTATCACCTCACGATGAACGAAATTCGCCCTGTCCGAACTAAAAAGGGCGACAGCACACGAAATGAGAGCGATGTTCTTGTCCAAGAAACATGTCGGGTCGATCGCCTGGATAAAAGCCTCGTGCGGTCTTGAATCTACTCCTAATAGTTTCAAAGATTGTAGGTTGCATGGAGGAAGTTCGAGCTGCTTTGTGACCGGGTTTATGGAATCCATGATGCTTTTGAGTAACAGTACATCCAAGCCAGCTCGCCTCATCAACGCAGTCTGATCTTCTAGACACAAGGTCCTGAATGCTTGAATTCGTTGTGTGAATGTAGATAGCTTCTTGATCTTCACGGATGTGTAGTTGATGAAGTCGATTATCGCTTTGGAGCAGTTGGAATCAGCGTGTTCTTCCTTATGAGGCATCATGTTTTTATGTTAGAATCAGCGTCTACGAAGTTAATATAAGAGCCGTACGTAACGGTAGGGTTCTAGAGTTGATGATGGAAAGAATTGCAACCGAATCAACCTTCTAAATCTGTATTCGAAAGAGTCCCGAATAAAGTTTCAAAACACGCAGTATCCACCTTCAAAGGTACACCTCTGAAACTTTCGGTAGCCCTCGTTGCTTCAGTCAACTTTTGCATCATATATGTGTACATCGATTCCGCCTCGAATTCAGCGTACACACTATGAAGGTACCTCCTCAAGAGCGACTTGTAGGACTCTTGCTTCTTCTCTATCACCTCACGATGAACGAAATTCGCCCTGTCCGAACTAAAAAGGGCGACAGCACACGAAATGAGAGCGATGTTCTTGTCCAAGAAACATGTCGGGTCGATCGCCTGCATAAAAGCGGTGTGCGGTCTTGGATCTACTCCTAATATTCTCAAAGCTTCTAGGTTGCATGGAGGAACTTCGAGCTGCTTTGTAACCGGGTTTATGGAATCCATGATGCTTTTGAGTAACAGTAGATCCAAGCCAGCTCGCCTCATCAACGCAGTCTGATCTTCTAGACACAAGGTCCTGAATGCTTGAATTCGTTGTGTGAATGTAGATAGCTTCTTGATCTTCACGGATGTGTAGTTGATGAAGTCGATTATCGCTTTGGAGCAGTTGGAATCAGCGTGTTCTTCCTCATCAGGCATCATGGAGTCGTATGCTTCATTGGCTTCAATGAGTTCCTCCAGTGTCATCAGTTCGCCAGCATCCAGTTCTCTTCGGTGGAAATTGTATTGTCGATTAGAAGGTTCCGGATGCGATGACATCATTGAAGAAGGTTCAGTCCATGTCATGAAATCATTCAAGGGACCTTGCGCATGTTGGTCAATAATTGATTCGTAATGGTCGTCGTTGGCATTCAAATTGTAATCATGAATATTCGGCACTGCCTGTTCACTCAAAGCAGTAGCACTTCCAATGTTCATCAAGCAGCTGCAACTGTCCTGCTGGTTATTGCTGGGTTGTCCAGTTCTGTTCTCTTTGATCTTCCTTCTCTTTACGAATTTTTCTTCTTCAGACATAATGAGATTTTCACACATACCGACAGCGAAGCACTTGTCCAGCCTACATCTTTGACAGAATTTTCTAGTGATGACCGTGATGTCGCAGTTCTGTTCGAAAGGGCACTTGAAGTGTTTGCCTGACACGGCGTTTCTTCTGAAAAAGGCCTTGCAACTTCCGCACGTGATCGCTTTGAAGTTGTAGCCTAAGGCTTTGTCGCCGCAAATTCTGCATATTTTTCTGGTTGTGCTCATTTTAGATGCACCACGATGTATGCCTGGTACATCAGGACTTGTATTTTGGTGATAAGATGTTATCTACTCAGTGATACTGATAGATAAATGACGATTGATTGTGTTCATTGGAAAAACTGTTTATTTGTTACCTCCAAGTACACTTATCGAGATAAACGATGCCGACAAATATTACATTACTATAAATCCAAGGAGTTTACGATGATTTATTTCAAGGTTTTGTTCCATTTGATAGGAAATCAAAAGTTCATTTAATAATCTGATTGAAATAAAAATTGTGTATTTTCGTCAGGCATGGGAAATATACAGGATTAGTAAAAAATCCTGCCACCACTTTATGTGTTAGATTTTTCATTTGCACACTGCTATTTATTAATGAACACTGTGTATTAGTTTCAAACAAAATTTATAAACTGAATAAAAATTGTTTTTGAAAAATAAGAAAATCATTGTTAAAATGACGTCTAATAGACAACAACGTTTCCTGGCTAACACCACATAATATTGAATTATATTTGTCGAATATTGAAAATACCTAATTTAGTGGTAATTTCGAGACTATTGGATTGTGCAAAATTTGCTTTTTTGATTCTCTAAAAATCAAGAAAGCATAGAATTCAAATTATATCTGCACCAATCGATAAACTTTTCAATTTTGAAACGGATAACTTGAGGATATTCATGTTTATACGAACTTTTCTTCATATTTTCACGTCAGCAACTTGCTCCTTAATTTTTCATACGTAGTCAAGAAACACCCTGTGAAAATTATTGTAAGAGAGATATTTATAAAAAATTGTCACGTAATTTTTCACCGGCTAAATGAAGGATTATTACACTAGCTTTTATGATCATATAAATTTTGCATAATGATGTTGTAAGTTGATATTTGAAATCTAAAAGGAGACTTTCATCCTAGGATTTTTTAGGAAATGTTTGGGAAATACTAGCAATACATAGGTAATACAAGCAATATGAAGAAAATAGAGAAAATTTTTAGGAAATACCAGCAATACATAGGCAATACATGTAAATACTTCTACCTATCCTATATTCCGTTCATTACCATTCTAAATGTCAATTAAGTCACATTGGTGGTTACTTCACATATTTATTTTAGTTAATTCTTTCGGTTACAGAAAAAATAGCATCTTTTATTCGGATCAGAAGTGACTTTGTTTGACGTGTGCTTTGGACTGTCAGAATTTCATTTTATCACTGAATGAATTTTAGTGCGAGTAAAAAGTCAATACTTTTTCGAATGAAACGCCCTGTATCTTCTTCCACAGCAATATTTTATTGAGGCATATTTGGTCCTATCGCCATATTTTGGTCCAAACAATCAGCACTTAGCCTATGTCCCAATAGTTATGACACCCTGTATTTATCCGGGAAAAAGGATCCAATTTTCTTCCGTGGGAAAAGAGGATTCACTTTTTTTTTTTCGTGAAAAAAAAAGGAATTTATGATGTGCCATATAACCTGTCAACAGAGATGAATTTTGTTCCTAGAATCTGTGGTTGCAATCTTTCCATGTAACTTCGGGACATCCTGTATAAATCCAAGCAGTTTTATAACGATGTTTTTCAAGGTTTTGTTTCATTTGACAAGATATCATAAGTTTATTTAATAATCTGATTGAAATATTAACTCTGTATTTCCGCGATACATTGGAAATATACACAATATACAGGGTTAGATATTGAATTGTTTCATTTGCACAATATTATTAATTATAAGTAATAACTGTGTATTTCCTTCAAACAAAATTTAAAAACTGGAACAAAAAGTGCATGAACCAGCAAATTATAAAGAATGAAATGTTATTATTATTATACTATAGTTTATTGATTTATTTTATTTCAGAATACTTGGCGGAGTTACACTCAGTCCACGTCCAAATATTTATTGTAAACAAAACATTTCTGACTTTTCTGTCTGCGATGAGGAGCAAAAAGTAATCTCAATTGATGAAAATTACTGTTTATCCGTAGACCATCTTGGCAGACCTGTAGATATTTACAGTAAGTTTATTGATTCTCATAATATACTTTCTACTTTCGCTACATTGATATACATACATGCTTTATCAAGTAATTAACTCTTTTGTTAGAAGTTTTCAATGTTTCCTCTCGATTAAAATTTTGATAATTTATAGCACCATATAACTCATCATGAACAATCGATATGAAATACGTATTATTTTGAGAAAGACAAAGTTATATACAGGGTGTATCTAAATAACACCGAAAAAATTCAAGGATATCCCTTTTCGTGGGAACCAGAACATAAAAAAAATATGAACATGTGTCCTAACTTGCTTCGTTTTCGAGATACAGGGTATTCATATTCCCATGAAAGATCGTTTTTTTATTCATTACTCAATTGCCTTCTCATCAATTTCAATAAAACGTTGTGATTTTGTTGATAGTAATATTGAGCTTCTTCTAGTGCAATTAGATTCGAAATAATATTTCCAGTGGCGTCACAGTGGGTAAATTCATCGATATTTATGGTGAATGTCAATGTACGCCACCGGTTTTTCCGAGTTTCATATATTGATTAAATTGAACTATTTAAATAACAACTTTTTCATTCCATGTGTGATTTTTGTATCTAGCTTAGTTTTTGAGGAAATAATGAAAATTCGATCTGAGATTACTCAATAACCCCAATTACAATCATTTTCAAATGGGGCCTTCTCAGTTTCCAACCATACTGAATTTTGGCACCATGAAAGTTTATACAGGGGGTTTAGAAATAAAAAAAATTAATACTTCCAACTTCAACATCCTGTATCCCAAAAACGGAGCAAGTTAGGACACATGTTAATATGAACTTTATTTGAATATAACAAGGAATCACCCCTTGAATTTTTTCGGCGTTATTTAGATATACCCTGTATATCCCTGTAGTATTTCTCGAATTATTATGATTTCTGAGAGAAATTTCAAGTTCACACGAGTATGTTTAAAATGATTATTTGAAAATTCTCGAAATTGAATCTTACAAATTTCCACCCTTATATAACTCGACGTTTCAAATAATCAACCAGTTTGTTTTTGATGTTATGTTCTATGATCAGATGATCGAGTGCTAATACGTTATTCTGGTAATGTTTTGTGTTGAAACTGTTATCAATTCATGATGGATGCTAGTCAGTATAGCAGCAGGAACGGCCGAAAAGGTTTCATTTTTTATTGCATCAATATTTTTAAGAATTTTCCACACAAGGATGAATAAGTTGAGTCCAGAATATATGTAGAAGCAGAGATTAAATGTATAATCTCTGGTAGAAGTGATACATAATTGGACTTGTCGAAAATATTCGTGTCAGTAACAAGTAAATAACTCATGTGAAGTTGGCGCCGACTTTTTTAAAAAACTGATTTTTTATCGGAGTTCTGGGTAGATACGATAGAGTTCTGGAGTTCCTGACAAAAAATGTCAATAGTTCTGGTTAATTGTAGAAAATAATCGAAAATAGTTATTTTTGTATCTAGAGCGCGAAATGCTACTTTGGTGATCGAGATCTGATTTTTTTAACGGTGCGTAGCCGAGTTAAAATAATAGTCGAGATGACCAAAGTATTTCGCGCTGGAGTTGCAAACAACATTTTTTCTACAAACGTCAAAAAACATAGTTCCAAAGTGAAAATATGCTTAGCTTGATATAAAAAATGGTGTTGAACTGGCTTAAAAGGTTTCCCCCTATCCTCCCTAGGTACGCACGATGTTCCACGAACATAATAGGAATTTCCTTTCGTGCGCTCCAAGAGAAAAAACAAAGTTATTGTTGAACATTCAGAAATAAATGATTTTGTGGATGTCTGCTCGATTGAGGACCATAAAGTTGAAATATAAATATCTCATATAGTTTACATAACAATGCGCGAAGTAGGTACTTCGCGCACTGTTTTACTTCGCGCATTGTTTTCTGCAAGGAATCATGGTAACGTGGGAAACTGAAAAAAAGTGTCACTTCGCAATTTGTTATCAATGCGCGAACCTTGTCATTTTTTGACGTTTGTAGAAAAACAAAATTGTGGGTGCTGACTTCAAGCGGAGCCGCTTTTTTTCACAGAAAAGAGTTCTGATGAGAAATTTCGACGTATTTGAAAGAGTTCTGGAGTTCCTGATATATTTCGACGATAGTTCCGGCGAAATAATGAAGTTATTCCTATTTTTAATAGGGACATTCATACGCTCATGTAGCATCCACCACTCGTCCACCACTTTCTAAAGTTGACTCATATTCAAAATTTCAATCAAATCGGAAATTTCAAAACTTCTCACGAGAGCAAGTTTGTACTTTTTTTGATTAATATGTTTTTAAAACTTTCTAAATTAGTTATTGATTCGAGATTACAGAAAACTGCTATTCATTGATTAAGATTATACTTTCATATAATTTTCTTTATATTATTATGTTATTGATTTCAGGCGACCCTGATTATCAAATGAAATGCATTGGATATTGGAAAGAGAATTTGAAATCTTATTTGATAACATACGACGAACTTGATCCTTTTTCCAAATACAGATGTTGGGTTTATCAAAGAGCAGATCTAAATAGAGTATTGATGTCACAAGGTAAATCTATTTGAATTTTTTTCAACATCCATAACATAAAGAAAAACAATTCATATTTTCAACTTGTTGAATAGATTCAAGTTCTTTTGAAAGTTTCTTCATGTCATCCTAGTCTTCAAATTATTTGGAATAATCACTACTTCACGTGTTTTCTCTTTTGTTTTACAGCTATTGGTCCATTTTGTGATTTGAAACAAGATGTCTCATCCTGGAACTACACAGAGGGAGCCTCAGTAGCTATTGAAATGCAGGAGTATGAAAGAGAACGTACGTTAATTATCGTTAATTAGATAGTTTCCTAAAAAAGTGAGGAAATCCACAATTCACAAACAAAAATACGACTTTGTACTTATAATTTGTCTATTATCTAAATTTCATTCAAAAATTCAAAAATGTACAGATTTTCGAGGAACTAACCTCTAAACCCTTAAAGTCTACTTTTAGAAGAAGAACATTAAAATTTAAAATTTGAATAACTCAAAAACTATTAACTTTTGCATAATTCATATTAGGGTTGAACTCTTTCCTTATTTACCATCTCCCCTATCACATCTCAAAAGGAATATAAATCAAATTACCAGTAACCTCGAGTGACCCTGTATAATAAGAAGTAACTTTGGCTCAAAAACTCAAATTATATAACTTTTATTATCACCTCTTCAACTCTAAAAGTATCATCACTGTGTATACATTATTGTATCCACTATTCCAATACTTACCTCCTCTCCCTATCCCCCCTAGGAACGCACGATGTTCTTTGAACGTTATAGGGATTTCCTTTCGTGCGCTCCAAGCGATAAAAAAAACTGAAAATGTTAAATCCCATATTGCCCTAGGTGATCAGTGCCCTATGGACTTCGATGATGGTACTAATCCATGGCTGCACAGAGAAAACAACATAGAAGTTTTTGACTTTGGATATTTCCGAAGTAGTTCAAATGACCTGTCGGCATTATCTCTTCTGGCGCAAGTTGTCATGATTTTGCCAGGTCTCAGGATTGTGTTGTGAAACAGTGGTGATATAATTGAAAGGTACATTGAATGCACCAATCTGGTACCGTTTTAGAATGAATAGCGTTTCAAATTAATTGATGATGACAAACATATCTGATTTTTGAAAATCAATGACTTGAAATGTAATAGTTGTCATACTGAATATCGTTATTTGTTGAGAATTTAGTCATTAACTCTATTCGAATGAACAGTGCCTCTTAGGTATAATTAGTTATAGTTAGAACATTAATCATCATTTTCTAATAACACTTTTTTATACATATTAGAATCATGACAATGCTAGTAGTAGTAGAAAATTTCATGAACAATTTATTTTATAAAATAATAAGGATTGTTTTAAACATAATTATGAGCATGAAACACAAATGAATATTATTATTAACTAGCATAATTATACACGGTGATTCATGAGGAACTGTACATACTCCAACCAGGAATAGAGGCCCCTGAGGGGAATACCCAATGTACATCAGAATCTGTCTTTCTCTCTTCTTTACCAATATACAGGGTGATCCACGGTGGATGGCCTATTAGAAGTATCTGGAGAACGAAAATACAGAACATTCTGAAAATTGGGATGCTTTGATAATTGAACATTCTCTATCCATCTAAAATATTTTCATCGATACAGTGTTGCCACTTCTATCAGAAACAACTAGCAACTTTGTTATTTCAAATGGAACACCCTGTATTTTATTGCATATTTGGATTCTTCCTGAAGAGCTGATTTCATCAATGCATCACACTTTGGGTCTAGCAGGAATGACTACAGAGATATAGGGTGTTCAAAATCGAGATTTTTCATTTATAGGATTTTTTTGTGTTGAAATTATTCATTATCGATCAAAACGGTTCACATGTCCCTATCTCAACTTTCGATCCACTATTTACTGATATTTAATTGGAACAGATACAGGGCGATCAGAATCTTGAAACACTGTGTATTTTTTCCAATTAAATTCCAGTAGATAGTGAATCAAAAGTTGATATAGGGACATGTAAGCCGTTTTGATCGATAATGAATAGTTTCCACACAAAAAAATCCTAAAATCGAAAAATCTCAATTTTGAACACCCTATATCTCTGTAGTCATTCCTGCTAGACCCCAAGTGTGATGCATTGATGAAATCAGCTCATCAGGAAGAATCCAAATATGCAATAAAATACAAAATGTTCCATTTGAAATAAACAAGTTGCTAGTTGTTTCTGATAGAAGTGGCAACACTGTATCGATGAAAATATTTTAGACGGATAGAGAATGTTCAATTATTAAAGCATCCCAATTTTCAGAATGTTCTGTATTTTCGTTCTCCAGATACTTCTAATAGGCCATCCACCGTGGATCACCCTGTATAGTGTGAATTATGTGATTTGGCAAAAACATCTTTTGGTCATAACTCTCCAACAGCTAGTTTGATTCGTCTGATTTTTTCATGAAATATTCCGCTATACTATTCTCTTATTGACTGACTCATTCAGAATTGGGAAAATCCAGGACCGTTCTTGAAAAATTTCGATAGTTTCGTTTGAAGCAAAAAGTGCATCCTGTATATCGTTTTTGTTAACTGTGACAGGGAATTTTCAAAGGTCACAAACAAACATCAAAAATAAAATATTCAAAATTTTCCTCACACTTTTATTGCATTTTGAAAACAAAAATAACAAATTTTATGAAAAAACGAAAGTTTAGTAGCAAAAAAATTGGAAATTGATACTTCACAACCAATTAATTTTATGAATGAAAGTAAGACCTCCCTTTTCAATGCTCCAGCTCAATGGAAATCAACATTCTGTTTTATTTTCAGACCTGGATTTGGTAACTTACTTTTGGGGAGAATAAATCTATATTTTCTGTTCGACTATCTTGAATTATTTGAATCGATGACCATTAACATCCAAACAGGTACCTCATCATCCGATTCGAAAAAGATCTACAGGGTGATTATTACCCTCCACTAAAAATAAAATTACGAAATACAGGCCTGAAAATTAAATAACATGATGATTTCTATCGAGCTGAAGCATTAAAAATGTGAGTCTCAATACTATTATTTGTGGAATGTATTGTATGCCAAACTTTCGTTTTTGCTTATAATTTATCGTTTTTTGTAGAATTATGTGAAAGTATGTGGAGAATTTTGAATATTTTATTTTTGATGCTTGTTTGTGTGGTTTGAAAATTTCCTGCCACAGTTTACAAAAACCATATACAGAATGAACTTTTTGATGAAAAATAAACTATCGGAATTTTTTAAAAACCATCCTGGATTACACCGATTCTGAAAATGTCAGTCGATTAGGGTTTAGTAGAGAAATATTCCATTAGAAAATCAGAAGAATCAAAGGAGCTGTTGAAAAGTTATGACCAAAAGATGTTTTTGTCAAATCTCATAAATCACCCTATATATTGTTAAAGACGAGAAGAATACACTTTCTGATGGTCATTCGGTATTCTCCTCAAGGGCCTCTATTCGTGGTAGGAGTATGTACAGTTCCTCATGACTCACCCTGTATATCCTGTGTCCCAAATTCGATACTCACCATTGGGACCTCGGTCACTGTGTGAGATAAAGCGTAGTCGATTGAGTTAGGAAAGTTTCAGCAAATTCAACCGTGATTCAGAATCCGTCAAGAAATCTTGATGAGATTTAGTCATTTCTGAGTTATTCAAGAAAAACGGGAATTTTGTATTTTCAGAAACTATTGATTGTATGAAAAGATGACTTCAACATTATGATGGTACTTTTTAGTGATCGTTTGAATGGTTCTGTCGATTTTTGAAAAAAAATGAAAGAAAAGAAAAAAAAATGAGTAGGAGGTCAAATCTCAGAAATTTCACAACCATTCAAAAGTTCTCTCAAAAGTACTATCGTTGTTTTATCATACAATCAATAATTTTCCAGATATTCCAGAAGAACAAGAATACAAAATTTTAGTTTTTCTTGAATCATTTTAAAATTACTGAAGCTTCTAGATTTCTTAAAGAATTCTGAATCAAGTTTGAATTTACTGAAACTGGGCTGAAACTTTCGTAAATCAACTAACTCTCTATTTCTAATATTTATATGAAGTTCCCAATGATGAGGATTGAATTTGGGACACACTGTATACTGTGATTTCATGAATCTCAAATAAATGATATTGCCGAGTATTTCCCCATATGGTTGTGTGCTAGTTGAATCTCTTGGGAAAGTTTTTATATTCATGAGGGATGAGGGAGTATAAGTGAAATTTTCTGAAAGTATAATTAGTTTAAAGTCAATTAATCACAGTCAAATAAATTAGATAAGACTACAAATTACAAGCAATTGTTGTTAGATTTTTGGCGTACCTACTGTAGTATAGGTAGAACAATACTTTTGATGTCAATTCTAGTTGATTTGTGTACCATACTCGGTACAGTTTTTTCATAATATACAACTGATTAATATTTTTATTATTGATTTTTTAAATAAATTTGAAGCCCATTTGAAAAGACTAACCTGTAGTCTTTGGTATTGTAATAGTAGCTCTAGCTCCAGCTCTATATATTACCTACTACATTATGATTCTATATTTTTTTTACTGAATGAAAAATGTCCGTCCTTTTTTATGTATATACATACATTTCAATAATTATTGATTGAATGAATAGTTTTTATGAAAATCAAAGATTAGAGTGTACCTTCAATTTTTATATAAACTGATCAGCAAATGAGGTTTCAATTCGCGGTCGCCAAGGTCATTAGATGACATTGCGATGACATTAACCTTTGTCAGGGATTAGCACGGATTAGCATGTTTTCCCATAGTTTAAACTTCCAACCTATGCCAGCTATAAGCATGTTTTCCTATAGTTTTTTATGTCATCTAATGACCTTGGCGACCACGAATAGTCAGTTTTTGATGAAAAATATCCGTCCTAAAATAGGTATATTATGTATATTTACACATACTTTTAGATTTACTTTTGTCATTCCATTTTGTATTGTGAGATATTAAAAAAATGTATAACTACCAAATTTTGTTGTTACTTAATTGTTATTTACCTAACAAGTGCGGAAAGCAGTACTTTTCCGCAAAAGTTAGGTACCAAGTTTTTCCTACAAGTGTTTTTGTCCATATTATTTGAAAAAAAAAATGTTTTAGACAATATTTTATAATGATGCGACTAAATGACACATAAGACAGAATAGTTACATGGATCATTTAGTTAGTCAAAAATATTCTTATTTTCAATACAAAAATCGTGCGGTAAAGTAACTTTTCCGCACGATATTTTCATGAATTGAAAGATAATGAAATAGATTTTTTTTTCATCGATATAATAGGAAACTTATTTGGTAATTTTGCACTTTTCATGCGATGGGTTTTTTCCGAAATTTTTTTTTGGTACTTACGTATTTTTGTCTGAAAAACACGAATTTGATAATGAAAATGTGAACAAACCATTATTTATCAAGATATTTCACTATAAAGTTACAAATATCACCTTCTTTTCCGCCTGTCTTTATGGATGGCATTTAAAACAATTTGCCTGCTTTTTCCATCATTGGACAATTTATATAGGTATATCACACAATGTTGGACACATTATTTTTATCATATGAGTCAACTAGAAATATGATTTTCTTGTGAATGCATGTATCCATGTTTAGTGAAAAGAAGGAAGAATATCATTTGAAATAATGGCGTATGTGATGTCATTCCAAAGTAATCTATTGACATTTGACATCTGGTATTTGGATTGCCTATGGATTAAATGACCGTCATCTGGTATGATTGCTCACTAAATAGGAAAAACTCGCAATAAAAATCATATTTCCTGTTGAATTTTCTAGCTTAAAATGTGTCATTGAAGTACATCATGAGTATATAAAATGTCCAATGACAAAATAAAAAGAGCAAGTACCTGTAACTCGTGTAAATGTATCCAACACAAGGGGGAAAATGAGACAATATTTCGAACTTTTTCTTGAAATATCTCGATGAATAGTGGTTTGTTCACATTTTCAT